TTCCAAATTGTCGCTTTTCGGGTGCGCTTTGAACATATTATGTATTTATACATAACCTACTTTCATGAAAGGATGATAATTTGGCAATGAACCCGAGTAACCTTCTGAATTTATGTTTCGCATAGAAAAAGCTGTACATATATATACAGACTGTAAGTTCAGAACTGAATATTAAAGAGTGCTTCCCTTTGTAGGTAATGAAAGGATACATGGGAAACCCAGATGCAACAGCACGAACTATTACAAAAGACGGATGGATTCATACTGGTGATATCGGATATGTTGATAATGATGGGATATTGTATATAATTGATCGCCTCAAGGAAGTCATCAAGTACAAAAGCCTTCAGGTATTCTAAGTTATGGAAACGGCTGTCAATTCTCTATTTACAGTTTCAAAAATGTAAAGGCAATTCGGCTAAAGCACTAATGCATATGCCACGACTGAACTGATTACTTTTATGAAAAAAAATTCCTCTGTTAGATAGTTTAAGTTCAAGTAAGAATTTACCGGTTTTCACTGCGTGGTTTTCGGGGTTCTACTTGTCTTGAACAATATGTAGCCTATGTCGTTATGGAACATTAACTTAATTTGTCGTACTTTGCTTTTCCAGAGTAAACGTGTATTTCTAATTTGACAAGCAATTACAAAACTTAGTTTCGCATCTACTAACATAGAATCGTTTGCCACAATTCCACATAAAGTTCCTATGAACTGTTCTCCGTCTGTTTTTGAAAAGAAAAAAGAGCTTTCATCTCTCAATTACGCCAAACTTAACAGAAAAAAAAAATTTGAATTGACTTCACCCAATACAATTAATTTTCAATATGATTCAAGCTAGAGTTGGTTATCTTATTCCAAACCATTTTCCACACTAATGTGTCATAATTGATATGTCACACTGAGACCACGCACATAGTATCTCAAAGAAGCATATTATGAGTTTTAAATTTCATGTTCCGTTCGATTCAGGTGTCACCTGCAGAGCTAGAGAGTGCTATATTAAAACATCCCAAAGTCATGGATGTAGGAGTTATTGGAATTCCTGATACTTATGCAGGTGAACTTCCAAAAGCATTTGTCGTGAAGAAAGTTGATAATCTAACGAAAGACGACGTGAATGCTTTCGTGAAAAGTAAGTGAAAAATTTATGGATGACGGGAGTTTGCTGAGGTTTATCTAAGTAAAATTACTATGTAATTATTTTAAATCGGTTCTACAGGAGTCACATAATTTGACATAAATACAGATTTTTGATATTTATAAAAAACGTTTCACCATCATTCAGGCGAACTGGCTGGCTACAAACAATTGAGAGGTGGAATTGAGTTTGTTAAGAAGATTCCAAAATCAGCCACAGGAAAGATTCAACGTATTGAATTGAAAAAGATGGCCGGAAATAAATAAAATAAACGTGTAATTGTTGAAGTTTTTAGATCCTTTTTATTTTATGAAAATACGATGATGAAAATATAATTTGTTCATAGTCCCCAAAATGATTCAGTCATGGCTAGTTTCAGTCAAGTCATGGCTATGACATTCGAATTCGATTGATTTGGAAAATATGACCATGTCATCATATGATGATAATATTTTTTTGATCTTTCCACCAAAAGACGCTGCAATAAATACATATTAAAAGATGAAGCTGGACTCCATTATTTCAGGCACGTGCGAATACAGTACTTCGGTTTATTTTGAATTACCCGCGGATACTATGCAAGACATGCTTCTATCGAAACGGGCTTCAGGTCTAAAACCATCAAGTGCAAATTTACAATAGAAGACCAAAAATCAACTAAAATACCCTGTACTGAAAACATTGTAGCTTGCAACCATAGAGAACATGCAACAGTGGCTACAGGGAATAGAAGCTGTTGAGCTCCAAGACCAGTGAAATGTATGAATCACAGATTATGTCCAACTTTAGTCCTTATATAAATATATATGTTGAATTTCACATCAATCTCAATAGAATAAATCATAATGAAATGAAATTGAACAATATTTTATTATCCATTCAAACTTCACCGAATGAAATTGAAACTTCAACATGTAATACAACGAGAATAGACCTTTTCCGGTCCTTTGACCCCCAGAAAATGCTTCTCATACTTTACCATTGCAAAATTTTCGGTGCTTATTTTAAGAGTGGTTTTGCGAGTTGTCGCCTGTAAAACGGGGTATTTGTCTCACGCCATCATTCTGATTTATAGAATTCAACAATCTCTTTTTTTTTAAAGTACCGGTAAAGAATTTTAGCCTAGCCTATCAGTATCACAGCTATTTCTACACTAATTTTTGATTACTGCAATTAAACTGAAACTCCTAAGAAAACAAAGTGATCATAGAATTATTTGGTTTATATTTAAATTCCCGAAACACAACTGAAAACTAACGAATAGAATTCAAAACGCAAAAAAGAGGTAATGTTTACGACCACGCCTGAAAATCTGTCTGAGTGAGAAAAGTGTCTGAGCGGATGCAAAAAGGCGCCTTGTTACGTCACTTTTTGCATCTTTCTGATTGGCCAATGTTACGAAGTAAACAGCGAAATCGATGCTCGGGGGAAACATCTATTCTATATGAAACTTTCAAAACCAAGTAAGTAACGGAAAACCTGCCAAACTGCAGGAGCTTTATCCTACTTCGAGACGTGCGAAAGCGTGCCATTTGCAGAAACAGTCTTGGTGATCAAGCTTGTGCTAAGAAAGCAGTACTAATAGATGAGTTACGATTAATATTGTTATCCTTGTTTACTAATCAATCAAAATCTATGAACAACAACTTTTCAAATCAGACTATACCAGGAATAGACAGTGCTTTTCATTACTGGCCATTGAATTTACAGTGAGGCGTCGGAGGCGATAAATCGCAACTTCCACAACAGACGAATTTGTCGGGTCAAAGGTCGGTATTTGGTTACTAGGTAACTGAGCGTTTGTATGATCCGCATGAACGGTTTGGTTTTATGATTTCTGAATTTGCAGATGATGCCACAGCTCTGATGAGGAACTTTGATTCAGTACCACTTTATTCCAGTTATTTAAACCAAAATGAGGTCATAAAACATATGATTAGCAAAATCAAAATTCCCTTAAAACATAAAGAATAAAATTGAAAATTTCAGAATTCAGAAACAGAAGGAAATGCCATATGCAATCAAATAAAGCTTTGATTAAATTAGTAATAAGATACAGTCAGCTTGAAACAAATCTGCGATTTAATTCAATGTAGACTAGTAATGGATTTTTTTGTAACATATTTGATTCCCATCGCAAATTGTGAGATAATATGTAGACCAGGGTATAATGAGAATAATTTGTTATAGAAAAGGACTGAAATATAACAGTGAAGAACTAATAAACTTATATCAACTACATACATACGATACAGCCCCATATTGGGCAAATTAATTTATTCACTTGGATATGGAAATTGAATGATGTTTAATCAATGATAAATTCCACTAATATTGTTCAGAAACAAATTTGTTGTAGAAGATATATTCCTATAGTAGTACATTAAGTACCGTAAATAGATAGATCATTTAACAGTAGACATTACAGCAACATATCTATTAATAATTTCAACATAAAATTTTTTTCTTAAATGAAATCTGATCTACTGATTTATATATTCGGCACTGATATAATGTCACAATATAATGATTTTTAGGTAAATCTCAAAAATTTGGGAAGGTTACTCAAAAATTGTTGATTGATCATTATGGTTCAAATTATTGTCAAACGTTTGTTCACTCCCAAGTACTCGATGAAGTTGTCATATGAAAAGCTCTATCATGTTGAAATATAGATAGATAGTTTCTACTAAGCAAACTTCTATCAATGATATATATATTATTTTATCTTCCTTTCAAATAAATCCCTTGTTCTTGTCTTTGATTTGGTATGTGATACAATATCAATATTCGGTTATTACAGACAGACATATACCTATACAGTATTTCAAGAATATTAATTTAATATTCAATAGCGTTAACATAACTTCAATTTACTTGTTTCAATTATTGTCCCAAGTTTTTGCAACATATCACAATAGAATATGAATATTTATTGACTTGTGAAAAACTTCCATTATTTCTCTGTGAGTGAGACTGTATATATTACTACTGATATTACTGTACTTTGAATTCGGTTGCGCGAGACTAACTCCCTTTTTTTTCTGTATGCCTTTATGCTAGTGGATCCGTATGTGTATACTGCAAGGACGCTGTAGCTGGAATAAACATAACTATTCCATCCAATTAAAGAGTCCAGCTGCACAGTAACACAAATGCATTTCTGTAACATTTCTTCCGACCAAAGTCAGACTTCCTTAGACAAGCAGTTTAATAAATTAAGCAGTTTAATAAACGGGTCTTACTACTTACTGAATAGAGCGCGAAACAGCGCAGAAGAGAGGGAAAGAGCGCGAAACAGCGCAGAAGAGATGGAAACATTTTTCTTTCTTTCATACTGTGTTCAGGTTGTGCGCCATCTTGGTGCACATACTTCATGACGCACCCTAACCTGGTACACATACTGTGTTCAGGTTGTGCGCCATCTTGATGCACATACTTCATGGCGCACCCTAACCTGGTACACATACTGTGTAAATCGTGATCATTCCCTACTACTGTATGCTGTTCCCCATCAAATTGTTTAAAATTTCATAGACACTAACAAATAATGAAAGAAAAATGTTTCCATCTTTTCTGTGCTCTTTCCCTCTCTTCTGCGCTGTTTCGCGCTCTTCTGCGCTCTATTCAGTAAGTAGTAAGAACGTTAATAAACTGCTTGTCTGAAGAAGTCTGGCTTTGGTCGGACGAAACTTTACAGAAATACATTTGTGTTAGTGTGCACCTGGACTCTTTTTTTCGATAGAATTACTGTACTTGTTTGAAATTCACTACTAATTTGCAAATTAAAATCTATAATCAATCACAACTTTGTCCTTGTTGGTATTATTTTCTATCATTCTCCTTTTTGTATTGGTTAATTACAGATAGATGTACAATATAAAGTAGAGGTGTAAAGTATAGATTTTTTAACATTGTTGAAAAATTAGTCTAGCGTACCATGTCAAAGAAACGTGGTAAAAGTTCATCTGCCCCTGGTCATGGTGGTCGATGGGAAACAGATCTTATTGCTCATGGCCTTGAAGATGTAAGTAATCGTTTATACTTCATATGGTACTCTCGTAATATATGTACAAGGTTAGGGTTAGGCCATAATTGTATTCCCGTTTTCCTCATTTTACTTCTATTACAGGTTCGGGGGCTGTCTGTGTTAGCCAAGTAAATATCCCTCTACCCATAAGTTTCAGTTCCTTTACACAACTTGATGTAAAATAGGCGAACAAAATTAGTTAACTTCATGTTGGTACACATACTTCTGGAGCGCCCTTCCTATTATGTTATAAATTATTATTGTTTATATATAATTTACTGACAAATTTGATAACTGTTTCAGGAAAATTGGAAAATCAGTATCACTTTCGTGGTGGAGAATAAGATTGAAGATTCCCTCCATATCAAACATCTGGCTAATGTAGTGAAAGTTCCTCAGAGAAGACTTTTCAGCTTCATTCATAAAGATGAGTTGATGGCATTGGTGAGGCCTTTATAAGTTAAATTCATATGATATATTGTTGCTACCTTGTCTATCTACCTTGGATGAGTTTCCTCTTTGGTTTATTTTTATACCTGGAGTCGCATCTTTATTCCAACAATTCTCACTGCTTGCCTTTCCAGTTCTTGCTAAAGAATCTATGATATTTTCTAATCTGATTACTGTTCTCATTTCCGTCTCATATATTATACTTCATATTATTGCTATCAAATTCACATTGCTACAAATATTATATATTATTAAAGATTGATGAAATTGGAAATCCAAAGACAAGAAAAACGAAGGAATTGCCTCATTATTTTGAAATAACCGAAGTTATTAAAAGTTTGTTAGATGGAGGAGAAGAAATCCCAATACATTTATGGGCAAAACTAATCAAATTTTCATTGCTTAATGTGAAATCCGCTGATTTGAAAAGAAGAGATGCAGAATCGAAAACAAAAGATGAGAAAGAAAAAGGTGGAAAGGGATCAGGTGGAAATTATATTGAATGTAATTTAAGCTAAATTAAATGTAATCAATATTTTCATGAAATACGATGGGACCCGTCATGTTTTGGTAACACTGAAAATTTTCAGTTTTGGCATAGCGTACCTAAATGTATTTCACTCGCGTGAGATGATGCTATGGATGTGAACTCTACATTTTTACCATGCCATGGTGGTTTATTTGTTTATATTTTCTATAACTGTAATGACTGTTTGTACTGTTAAGTTTCATGACAATCGCCATTTGCTGGTATGTAATTCCGCACTATAAATTCATGTAGTTCATGATTTTGATATGATTGTAATTTTGCTTCAAATTGAGTTTAATCTATGTCAGAGTGGGTGCATGTGGCCTTGTTTCCACCGAATTCTCTCAAAAATACTAATAATTTTTAATTGATTTATGTCATAATTATGACTAAGTTTATGTTTTTTGAATATCTAGGTAAAAAAAGGCCACGAAGCAAATCTCCTGGTAAAGGAGGAAAAGGGAAGAAAACACCTGAACCTCAGATGCCAAAGAAAGATTGGAGCACATTGAAGAAAAGAGGGGAGGAAGATACAGATAATAAATATATTGGTGATTTTTACATAAATATTTATGTTTAATGCCCTAAAATACAGGAAGTGTGATAAATACAAGTATAGCTTCCATCCGTTTTTATAGCTTAAAACTTCAAATATGATTGTTACATTTTTTGGTATTTTCTGCTCATTTGTGAAGGTAAAGTCATTATTATTCTCTTGTGTATGATAAAGTACATGAAAAATTGTTGGTTGGATGTTGGGGCTTGGAAGCTTGTGAAAATGTCTTGAAACTTGGCATGATAAAATGAATTATATTATCGGCATTGTCCCAGAGCTGCGGGTGCTGAGCCGATCGGCACCTTGGGTATATGGTCTGGTCAAGCTTCTTCCTTGATTTACCTCAAATGTTATATATACTCGGTGTTTATTGTTTTATGTCATTTTCCAGACTGTCTACAGTGGGGCCTCGCATTGCCTCAAGTTTGTTGATGCTAGCATCTTGCAAGTTTCCATTGCGCTTTTTGGAACTAAAATTTCGTTGATGAAGATCTCATTTTATTCTATCATTCTGCTTATTACAACCAATTCATCCTTGTCATGATGTTTTTAAATGTACATTCCATTTTAAAGATGATGAACCTGATGATGGACCGCACCATTATGTGTTTGTGAGTGGATTCAGGCAAGCACAATTATTCCCTTTATTGGTGGAACTCGGTGTCAATGTTTCATCTATAATCAAGTTATATTCTGAATCATACCTCACAATTGACTCAGTACTTTCACAAACCAATGGTACATCTGCAGGCGATGCTTCAAAGGATGGTAAGTGTCAAATGATTCATTGTATTATATGAAATGCTAAGCGATAGTAAAGAAGTATATGGAACACTTTCAAGAATTACCATTATTTTTATATTTAGAAGAAGCTCTTGCTGCTGAAAAAGCAAAAAAAGAAATGAACGAAAAAGAGCTTGCGGTGTTTTGGAAACTTTTACCAACAGTACTTCAAAGAGCAGCTCCTAACTCTACCTTGCAAGATCTTGCTAGATTGGAATATTCTGTTGCTGACATGATTCATCCCACTGACTGGAATGATGCTGACAACCTGGTAAGAAATTAGCGGTTAAATGGAATTGATGTGTTTAACTACCACTCCTCTCTACCTCTACCATCTGTAAATCCTGGTTTAAAACAATAGTCATTGTCTTGCCTGGAAAAGTCTGACCTCAGCCTGACAAAACTTCACAAAAAAATTGTGAAAGTGTGATGCCACAAATCTTTCAACCGCTTATTATATAGATCTATAAATTGGGAAAAAATTCATTTATTTTATTTTCAATATTTATCAAAGGTTGGATATGGCACGGCACTTTTTGAAGACATGGCATGTCTGGTTTATAATTCACTTGACTGGAGGAGGCAGTATCTTAATTATTTGAAAAATATGAATATCATTCATATTCCAATGCATGGTGAAGCGAAAGCAATTGATCAGCAGATGAGTGGATCGTCTGAACCTCATTCAACCACTTCTGCATCTGGTAAGGAATCGTGGGATATGAGGATTTTCATATTTATTCGGGTGGAAGAAAAATCCATAAGACGTACTGATCAAATGTAATCTGCATGGACTTGATAGGATAGTGGAGAAAGCTGTAACCGGCAACCACTGGTCGCGTCATTCAGCATGCAAAAGTGTGGACCAACAAGTCACTCACATATAATTATTCCCACAGTATTCAAACCTGTGAACCCACATGAGCGTGGCGGTGTAGCTCATCGTGCTAAGCGTTAGGAATAGGCTCGCCACCGCATCTCTGATTACACTGTGTGGGTTCAAATCCCATGCGAGGAGGGCTATGTGCGAGAGGATTGCTGGACTCGCCGCCGTTATTTTTTATTAAATAACAAGTTTTCATGTTCTGCCAGTTTCTGATTTGTTTAACAAATATTTGATTCGCTTTTTTAAGTTCAGTATTATTTGAATGTGGATATATGGTTTTCCTGGAATGGCATATTAACAATTATATACCACATCCTTAAATAAAGCTAAAGTTCAGCTATTCATTGATAAAATTTTGCCGAGAAAACTGAATTTACTTACGATAATAGGTAAGCGAGACAAAGGCAAAGCTCCCGCTGCTGAAGCACCTTCAGACGATCTTATTCCACCAATTGTTACTGAGCAAGTTGCAAAAGAAGTTGATATGAGATATTATAATGATCTCATGGATCTTGTTCCACAAGAATCCGTATCTGTTCCACTTGTGATGCATTGCATGTTAGAACAGGTAATTTTAGCATTTTATACTTTGTCTATTATGTTTAGTAAACTTTTTTTTGCTTGTTTTGACACCTGTACATTCTTGAAACTTAATGAAAGTATTAGCTTGACTTGAAAAATGTACTTTGAACATATACAACAATTTTTTCCTAATAAGAAGACTGGACTAGAAATGCTTCCAATCCCATGTGCACATTCAAACTTACAGCTTCAATGGTGCACGTAACCTAATTAGTTAATCCTCTTATTATGCTGGAGAAAACTTACATGAAAGTCTTGTAATACAACGGTCCTTGTTTATAGTAAAAATATGATACAATTTTTTCTATGTTAATAACATTCAGCATTTAGTTATCAAATGTCATACATTAGATTGAAGCTTCAGAGCAAGACTTGACACCACCAAGTGAAATTCCGAGAGAACAAAGGAATGATGGAATTCATCTTTCACTTGCTGATTGTATCTCTGATGCTCTAGAAAATTTAGCTCTTACTGAAGAAGAAAGAAAGGTAATCTAGTCAACTAATATACTGTTTTAATACAATTGGTGATTATTATTATTATTGCTCAAATCTAAGACATAACTGAAGAGTGATGAACAAATACTGATTTTTCCCCTAATTTACTATTTGTACAGGATTTATCACAAGATTTTCCAACTCTCGAAAAAAATTTTCAACAAGATGTTGAAGAAAAAAATAAGAAGTTACAATCACCTAGTTTGATGCAATATGGTGATGATATGACAGTCAGAACTCATCATCTTGATAAATTTAATAATTTTGATCCAAGAAAAGCAGAAGAATCACTTCTACAGAGGTTACCATGTACAAGGTATTATATTACCATGATAACTTCATAGTTTGGTAATATTAAAAATAAATTGGTAACTAATCAAGTATAACTGAAGTGTCACCAGTAATAGGACAAGTGAAAAATATTTACGGTAATGAGTTTTATTTGGACAATTCATTTGTTACAAATGCATTGCACATTGAGTCTCTACTAGCTCAGAATTATGCTTGACAAACTTGAATATTCCATTTAAACTTTATCTCTAAACCAATTTGGAATTATAAAAAAATACCATGCTACGTAGGTTTTTATATTGGATCTCAGAGAAACTCTTATTCTTTGTCATAATGTCAGTCTGTTTGCCTATAGTGTTCAATTGGCTAGATCTATCTGGGGGAAATTTTTCTCGTGGGCTTGTTTTAAATCATGTAGCTGTAATTTTTAGTTCATAATTTAATCTTCCACGAAACATTCTGTTTTTAGGTTATGGAATTATCAGCAGAAAAATCCACAATTATCCAAAGAAAGATCTGCTAGATTGCAAGAGCTTCTGAGAAATTGTGCTACGTTGTCGGAAGGTATGTTATGCTTTTTTAATATAAAATAGTAGGAGCAGCTTTTTGAGCCATATTCACCGAAAAGTTGTAGAATTTGCAAAGTCAAAAATATATGTTTTTCGCATTTTCTCAAAACAGTATTTTTCAAGTTTTGTCCCTTTTTTCAATAAAATACAGCTTGATCTATTTTATCGAACAATTCATATTACTTTTCAATGCGCAGAATCTGAGGGTGTCATTGCATTTTCTGATATTGACCGAGCTTTCAGACAATTTGTATTTGAAACTATTAATTTATCAACTGTTGATGAAGATGGAAACATTGTGAAAGTAACACCAGAAGTAAACCAAGGTAATGTGGCGAAGATGGTAATACAACTTATATTTGTTTTAATCTTTTCAATGACCTAGCGCAGCGTTTGCCAATTCATGGTTGCCTGAAAATTTCCTTGGTTTGCTTTTTTTTCAACAAATCCGGAAAGTTACCGTTTTTATTTCCTAGTTTATTTAATATTTGAATTTAAGTGTTGCTCAATAGTAATTGTATATGTGGGAAGTATCACAGTGCAAAAACTTGGCTGCTGCTATTTTGTTTGAGTAAAGTCACACCACAATTTCAAAAACTCGCTTGTGGCAAATAAGCGCAGGTTTTTCACTTTGAGTGAATTTTGGGGAAAATATATTTTATGTAAAAATTATTGTTTGATATTAGTTAATTTAGTGACCATATGAAGCATAATCATTTCATATCGCCTAGTATTTGAGCATATCTTTGGGTCACAAAATTTATTTAAAAAAAAATTTGGGCTGCATGAAAGAGGTTGGGAACCACTGACTTAGCGGTTGAAGTGTTTGACTTACCTGTGTTGACATCGTGGATTACACATCTCAGGTTCAAATCTTATGCCCCCTACCTCACCCAGTCCTTAAATATTGTTTGATATCAGTGGCTGTTTGTATAAAGCCTTGTTTAGAGTAAAAGGCTTGAATAAGCGCCATATACAAAAACGTTAGATGTAAATATTAATGAATCTTTCCTATATGTCAATACTATTTTACGTACAAGGATGTACTATTGTCTTTTTCAATGTTTTGCAAACCCTGAAATTGTAGTCGTTGTTTCTCCTTGTATAGTTTTATTTTTATCCGACAATAAATGATATTATTACAAAAACTGTTAAGATACATATCATTTCACTATCTTTGTATAAATCAGAGAGTCCCTGGGATGATCCATACACACTTGCTGTGAAAAGTTCACCGAGCAATGCGGAGGAAGAAAAGGAAAAAGAAGAAATTGCAGGAAACAAAGAAACTGAAAAGAAAGGTAGAAAGGAAATTGATTTTTTAATTACTCTCACTTCAGTCATCCATCATTTAATTGCTTCACATTGTTAGGACATATACTGATACCTGACAAGTGACAACGGCCCCAAGATCAGAAGCTCATTATCGTTTTCTGTAATCCCAAAGCCATTTAGTAAAATTAAACTTTATACTTCAGATGATGCTCTTGGTAAATCAATTAACATTGAAAAATATCCAGCTTTAATTCCAAAAAGAATCTTGGACAGTTGGTGTTATGCTGAACATTTCCATCCTGAAGTTTTTCTGCAGGTAACTTCAACTTTATATGTAGGTATTTTGTGGGTTACCTAGTTAGTAGTAGTTAGTAGCCATTCTGCAGCCAAACCTTCAAAAATGAAGAATAAACCTAAGGATAAATAAGAGAGAGGTTCTATATTTCTTATTTTTCTTGCTTTCAAAATTAATCGATGTGAAAAATTTATAATGGTTTTTACCCCTCGTAGTGATGACATCATTTCGATGTTGATTATGCGCAAGAAGAGTGTTGGACTCTTCGATGCTGCAATGTGGCTCATATGGAAGCTTTCTCTGCCATACATGTACATTCACTTGAAACTATTAGTACCGGTAACTGTATTTTACTCTCATAACTGTTCTCCAACGTAGGATTATTATGTTATGATTATATTTTATCAGTGTCAATGAAGGTATCTAATCTTACCATCACATTGTTCTGTTGCTATTTCTGACATTTCATACTATTTACAATATTAGGTCTTGACGGAGGCAACTGAAAATTACCCATCGCTTGATACATATTATCACAAGAGAGATCACTCCTTATTGGCTGTTTTTCATTGTCCTATGAATAAAAAATTACAAGCTACAGAGGAATGGTCAACCAGTTTACATTCTGATGTTGGTTTCAGGTAATCTGTAATCATATTGTTATTGTTGTTTTGTATTCATCCCATAGCAAAAACAAAATTGAAATCTGTATCGCTGTAACATCATTTACTTTTGGGTATATTGATAATATATATCTGGTTTTATCTCAGGTTTTTGTGATTTTATTAAGATGATTTTGCTTTCTAATTGAAAAATTGAAAAATAAGAAACAAAATCAGTTAATTCAAATGATATTTAAATATTGTCGTATATAAATTACTTGTATGAAATATCTTTTTTTCAAACCATATTATTTTGAATTTCCAATCTAAATGTTTAGGTAACTTGGTACGATAGGTGCCTCACTTATATTGGAATGTATTGCATTAGTTCCCACACTAACAACAAAAATTCTGGTGAATCTATAGTAACTACATTCTCCGTCTTATACAGAAATTATCTTGAGTATGTATCGGAGCCAATAGCAGATTGGACAAGATCAGAAGAAGAAAAATATCAAGCAGAATTATTAAAAAAGGAACTTGAAAAAATTCAAGCCAGTCAGGTTTCAACTGAAGCTTCCACCACACCTCCCCCTTCTACTGGAGCAGGAAAACGTCCAAGATCAAAAAGCCCCAAGAAAGGAAGTACGTACAGGGTGACCCCAACAAATCAGACCCATTTATTTACTTCTTTAAAAATAAAAAAAATTCATTCGACATTTGAACTTCTGTTTGTGTATGATTGTACCCAAATGTTTCAGTTATAACGCTTTGCACAAAAGTATGTTCTCTCTAGAATTTGTTCCAAAGAACCTAGGTTCTGTTTCTAGGTCACCGTGTATTTAACTGAAGATTTACTTTACGAGAGGTTGATAATTGTTGGGAACGAGCCCTTGGAAATCTCAAACTGTGCATCACATTGTTTTAGGTCGTCGTGGGAGTGCTTCTCGGTCTTCAAGTAAAGTTGGAGGTACAGATGACAGTCAGACTTATAGTAGTCCTTATATTCGAACTGGATCACTCAAAGCTCAGTCGGAAGAACAAGCAAAAATCAGAGAGGAAGAAGAGAAAAGAAAAGCTGAAAAAGATTCCAAGCAACAAGCCCGTGTTAAATCTGGTGATAAAAGTAAACAATCAAAATCAGCTGTCAGCAAGACTTCTCAAGATGGTAAACGTCCAGGTTTGTGATATCGAATCTTCGTTATACATTGTTAACATACCCAACCTGATTATTGCACTGTGTTTAACAAGGTAATAATATAAGTTAGTGGTTTCCAAAACCCCAATGAAACAGTTCAGAGGCCTGAGTACCCACCCTTGTGCAATACTTGTCAGGCTGCAAGAAGAATTGTATAAACAATAATTCCATATAAAAGCAAACATGATAGTTATGAAACAAATTTATCTTTATAAAGTGGAGGTATATAACTGAACAATCTGATTCAATGTCACACACAACCTTTTGTGGGATAAAATGAACATTATTTCCGTATTTCACTTTCCATTTTATTGTCCCAATTTGTAATTCTTTTTTTAGCACTCTTCGTAAATGGTACATTTACAATATATTTTTGCAGGTTCGGGGAAAGCTTCTAGAGCTGGACGTCGTTCATCCAAGTCGAAATCTGGTTCAAGATCAAGGTCTCGTTCACGATCTGGTAGTCAAGAAAGAGTTGTGGAAATACAACAACCTGAGCTAGTGGAACCTGCACTTCCTTTTACTGGGTAAGTTAGGCTTAACTTTCAACCACTGATTTACTTATTTTTATATTGCGCAATACGCATATGACGTTTGCTCTGAACAATGCCTTATACAAGGTCTATTTAATATATTACTCCCTGGGTTAGGTGGGGGTATGGGATTTAAACCCGAGATATGTACCGGTAATCTGTGAAGCTAACACAGTTGAGTCTAATGCTTCAACCACTGGGCCATCATGCCACCCATAAATAATAATCTAAATATAAATGTTGTGAATAAATTATTGCGACTATTTCTTATTAATGACGAAAGTGTATCGTTATTTTTATTACTTACTTACGTTAACTTCATTTGTAAGTGAAAACTAAACAATGAACCAATTTGTAAATTCCCAAAGTGTTATGAGTTGTCTTTCATGTTTACATTAACAAACGTCTGTCAAACATTATGAACTGAATTTAAAAAACCAAAGATCTTTCTGTTTTGTTCATTATCCACCCAATTTCTTACACTATTTGTAAGGTTAAGTCAAACAAAATAGTCATAATAATTTTTGTTAAATTTTCCCCAAAATTCCAATGATATTTGCAACTTCAATAGCAATAGATTTTGAAATAGGTTAGATTTCATCTATTGGCATATATATATATGTTTCTCTATGTATTTGCATTGATATTATGTAAATTAAACACAGCATTTATATAATTTCTGCAAGAGTCAAAATGTGTTGAGAACCTTCCATTTTAAAATTTATCATTAAGTTTGTTTATTTCAGATATGATGTTGGCAATAACCTCATCAATATGTTTGGTAAAACAAGTTATTTGTATCCATGTGATGGCGGAATTATTAAATCTGAAAAAATTGTCTGTGAACAAGGTATCTTATCAATTGTTGTTATTCATTGAAAAAAAAAAAGAGTGAACGTCTAGTTGAAAAATGTATCTTCTTTTCAGAATTTTTTTCACTCAAGTCTTAATCACGATGATAATCTCACCAACACATACATGAGTAATACAGGTACTAGGCTTTAAATCACTACAATATTGGCAACACACAAATAATAAAGCAACAACAAACCCAGTAAACAGACAAAACAAGTTTAAGAATAAACCAAAATATGCAATATAAATGACCACTCTCTACCCCCTATCAAAAGCGATCAATTATATTCCCGAATGCCAAATCTCCAGGAAGGCCTATTTGATTTTCTTATTCAATTTTTTCCAACCTTTGATCCGATACTCAATTATGTATTATACTAACTTTAAAATTGAGTAGTTTTTTGAATATTTTTATTCACAGGAAGCACAACAGTGTCAACAACTGTAAGAAAAGATGGACACATGTTTCTGGTTCATATGATTGATCCTAAAGATCCTGAAGAACACAAAGAATTTGACGAATTAACAATGAAAACAGAGGAAAAGGCGGATGAAATAACTGAAAAAGCTGAATTAGAATCAACAGAAAAAGATCAAAATGAAGGTGGTTGCCTATTTTTAATTAATTTGTGCCGCACATATTATAAACTTTTATACAAAATTCAATCATTGTATCTAGTAATTGTAATTTATTTATATAACCCGCAAAAAGTCCGTCTGAAGTTTAGGCGCTCCAGAAGTATGTTTACCAATATGGAGGTAACTAGTTTTTGTTCGCCTACTTTACATCAATTGTGTGAAGGGATGGAACCCTATGGGCAGGGGGTATATTCACTTGACTTACACAGACAGTCCCCAAACTCGTGATGGAACTAAAATAAAGAAAATCAGAATAGAATTATATCCCAACCCTAACCTGGTACTCATACTATGGGAGTACCAAAGCTTATTCCAATATGTGACACCAAGTCACCAACACATGCTGCGAGGGACCTAGCATACTAAATTCATCAAATTTGTACAATCACAGTTCAATTCATTAAGCATAATTCACTTCTGTGAAGTTCTTATTGCAAATTGTGGTTTGGAACGGAAGATATAACCTATGCATTGTTTGCTTAATTAACTCTTTCACTGCTGAATTTCTCCACTCTAGTCTCTAGGTAATTTTACTGACAGATTTTCCATTATAATTCCCATATTTTTACCCCCCCTGTATGTTTTTAAATAACACCAGAAAATAGGTTTTGGATATAGTTAATATGCTCAAGCACATACACTTTCAAATTAAACTGTTTCAAGAATGTATTGAATGATCTTTGACCCTTGTCTTGAACTCACCATCACTGTATGCAATATCATGCCCGTTTGTTGACATTGGTATTTTCACTCACAGAATTACTAAACTAGATTCCTTCTTCTAGGTCTTTCTCAGAATCGGGATGTGATATATGCTACAGCTTCATATATTGTAGATAACTTGAAATCTTTGTTGCATCATTCTCATTGCATCTCACCTTTTTTAGATCCAATGAGTCGGAGATCTTCCAAAAGTCTCCAAAGTGTTGATGACAAACCTTGTCATAGTACATTTGGATCATGGAATGGAGTTCTAAGTGATGGAATGACGCTATCATTCAGTTCTCATGGAGAAGAAGGAGAGTGCTCAGCTGCTGGTAACAATAGATTTCCAAATTTAGTAAGCTTAATATATTCAGGATGATATCCAGCTTAGAGCTCAAACATTGAATCAATAAAAAAGACCATCGGCCATGGCATCAGTGATATGTTCTATGCTGTGTTTTTTATTATTTATCAATTCACGAATTTTATTAAATTGGTGTGTTTCAGTCACTGTTATATTTCAGGAATGATTTGTCTATACAGAGCTATTCGTTTTTTGCTGATTAGAATGTGGTAGTATTTATACGCTCATGGGTGCACCAAATGACTATTGATTGATAGATGTGAAATTACTTAAATAACATGTATGAAGTAGATGTAATAAATTGCTATAATATAGGCATCATTCTCAATAAGGAATCATGTTATATGGTAGAATTCTTGGCTCCCAAATTTCAATAAGCTCACAAGGCAGAATAATATTACTTATCTCTCATGATGTAGAAACCTTTTTATTAAACTCAAGTAAACATCTTTGGAATCATGATTGGAAAATGTTATAAGTGTGTTAAGCAAAATTATGAGATGCAAGATTCATTTTTTAAAACTGATAATGAAGTGTCATTTAGACAGATCACTTGTCATGTCGTTCATGTACTTGGTAGTAGTGGTAAAACATAATTTATAATTGAAAGGCCATAAAAGCATGCATACAAGAAACAGAGAAGGTGTATGTCTCTATCTCGTTCCCATTAGTTCATGGCTATATCACTGATCTCTTTCATAAGAAATCATTTACGTCATTCATACCTATAAAATTCTTAATATTATTTTTTCCACAATAGCGAAAGCTGAAAAAAAACTAATGAAGATACTTGGTGAAGTTCCACCAGCCAGTAGTCCATCACCTGTTCCCCCTGGTATGGAAACACCTGGTAAAAAAGGAAAGGGAAAAGGCAAGTCGCCCCGAGGAAGATCTCCAAGAGGCAAGAGTCCAAAAGGAAAAAGAAGATCTGATTCTGAAAGAGAAGCAGAAGCACAAAGATTAGAAGAAGAAAGATTACAGGTGATAAAAAAATATTTTCGGCTTTTATCAAGTATGTATGTCTATCAGGAAGTATGTACGATTCTGGTGGGCCAGGTGTGGCGTTAGCGTGCAAGATTGGTAATCAACAAGCCTGAAGCTATGCCAGTATGGACGTATATTAATGGATCCTGCCACAATCCTTCACCCCGAATACAACACACAAGTCCTTAGTGACAAATAATATTAAATGTAAACAACAACAGACTCTTAAGACATCTCAGCAAGGAATGATTAGAAATAGCATTACGCGCTCGAAGAGTGCGACGGGAAAAAAGGTTACACGCATGAGCGAGTTGATTAGGGTGTTACATGTAATAATGTAAGGGAAACACAAATAAACCGGCGCTAAGTGAGTTGGGGTACTGTTGGAGATGGAGACATCAACAAAAAACACAGATCATACACAAACTAGGAATAAATCAAGAAAGAAGATTCGGTGGGCTTGTCACTTTCACCCACAGCCCTTGAACATTGCTCGATAACCTTTCAGATTATCTCTTATCTCTTTCACACTCGACAACACATAATAGCATGCAGCATATAGCTCGTTACATATAAATGTAATGCTTGATTAATAATGAAATACCGTCCTTTTGTTCATTTGTGTATATCTATATTTTTTCTCACTAGGAGGAGCTAGAAAGAAAATTACGTGAAGCAAAAGAAGCAGAAGAACAAGAAAGATCAAGAATCAAACTTCCGCCTTTTCAACAACTTTATGTATCAACTCCTGATGGATTATCAGTTCGATACCAACTCGATCCAACTATGGCTAGTAAGACCAAATTTTTGTTGTTAATTGAAATTTATTTTCAGAGAACAATAAAATAACCAATTTATTTCTCTGAGCAGTCAGAAATTTTGTAGACTTATTAGTCACTGTGATCAATAATGATTTCGATTCTGATCTTCTTTTCCCCTCTCAATGCAAATATGATTTGAAGCTGAAAGTAACACAAGCCATGTTTATTTTATTCAGTTAATTTCACTACTTCAATATTTACATCTAGCTACTTTTTGACAGTGGTAGAGCCTCTTTGTATTAGCACCATTTGCATAATATTTTACAAAATAATTTGTACAAAAATTTACAACATAAATATTACACTAGATCTATGTTTAAATCTAAATCTATGCTTCACATTTTTTTTTACATTTACAAGCGCAAGTAGTCATGTGCTTTTGAGCATGTCATATTATCAGCAGATTAATGAATTTATAAAAAGAAACTTTGTTTGAAATATATCTTTTAATATTGTCTGTCTAAGAACAGTGCTTCCAGTAGTTAATCTTAAGTATCGATATTTTGAGGCAGTTTGTTGTAATGCAATACATAAGTTAAATTTTTTCAAAGATTGTAAATAAATGTCAATCTGATCAACTTTTATACATTAATAAAAACCAACTTTGTATTTATATTCATGAGAGATGGCACATCATTACAATTTAGGCTACGAAATGGAGGCAAACTTTATATCATACATCATTTTCATCTGAAAAATGTCAAGATTATTTTGTGAACAAAAGATTAAAAATATTTGTATTACTCTTCGATTTCTAGGTAATGCAAATGTTATTGTTGTTCAGCACCCATCACATATCTGTCTTTCATACAGTTGAAACTTTTTCACCAACTTTCCTATGAGTTCGCACTGTCAAATTTTGTGATGAGTAGCTATTTGTGAAATGACTCTTCACCTCCGTAAGGGGATTCCTATATCCACTTTCTTTACCAACTACATTCATGTATTGGTACCATTGATTCAGTTAGTATTTCCATACTTGACTTGCACTGACTGGAGACTGGTTGGGACATTGTGGTATGGTGTGGTGTGTCGCATACTCAATTGCTGAGAATCAAAAGCTTTCTTCTCTCCTCGTGTAAATGAGAAGAATCCAATCCTAAGGCTAAAAGCGTTTTGTTGTTTTGCACTCTTTGGTTTACTTTGGAATCAGTGGTAGTTTCTGTATGTTTCTAGTGCTATATACTAAAAAAGATTATTCTAATTAATAATATGGAAATGATGACATAATGTGATAGGTCATTCTTATTGCTACTATTTTCACCTCCATCATTATCAGTCTCGTTCATTCTGTTAGGAAATTTTCTTTGTTCTTCACTGATTGTAACAGTCATAAAATATTGTGTCAAATCAATTTGATGACATTTGAATGTCTTCAACAATGATTTAGCCATCAGTCCCATGTATTGTATGGGACTTGCACACACCATACCACCGTGAATGGTCAATGATTTTTTCAGTCTGTGATTAGAATGTCTCGACCGTAATCGTTGTTCGAATGTTGGGTGACTTTGTCGTATTCGCTCTATAGCACCAATCGTTGAACAAACAGTTCCTTTGTCACATGACCATGGATTGTTTTGCAGAAATACATGTTGAATATTCTGCATTTTTGGTAAAAATCTTCCATCTAATTTCGTGAGTTTATTCTTGCTTAAGTCGATTGTTGTCAGTTGTCGGAAGTTTATCAGCAAATCGGGTGTTATGTGATCAATTTGATTTCCTTGCAGATATAACAGCTTTAAGTTGAATTGCAGTGATTTGAAAACCTTGGTTTGTAACGATTTAATCTAGATATAAATATAAATAAGATAGGATTGGATTTCATATTTATTCTTATTGAAAGAAAAAGTTCTATGGTCTTCTTGTTTGCTTACCCCACTATATGTCGGGTTTGAGTTTTGTTAGCTAATTTGAAATTTGTTCCCATACATGGATGTAGCATATTAGACTTATCTTTTACTTTTGTATTAAAAAAAATGCAGACAAACTCTCATACAGACTATAGGATCTAGATATAGACTTCACCATCATGGCCAATTCAACTTGAACTATAGAAAAATTAATCAAAAAATGACAATTCAAAGACTGTATCATGGAATAAATTTAATTTAAAAAACCTCTCACCTGATTATTATTCAAATAGAGTCGTCTTAAATTTCCAAGTCCAACGAAAGCATTTTCTGAAATCTCATCAATATAATTATGATTGAGAAATAGAGTTTCAAGCTGATGAAGACTTTCAAATGTGTTTGCTCTGATTCTCTTAATTTTATTTGAAGATAGACGTAGTCCAACAAGGTTTTTTCTGAAAAATAATTTATATTGTAAACATGTAGGGAGGGTATTCTTAATTTTAGAATATCAAGTTGACTATTTGCTGAATTTGAGTTGGATTGATTGCAGAATCAGTTGAACTATAGGAACAAAATGTGACGCATAGCCATGATTCAATATGCCAAATAACGTTTATTCAATTTTCAAATTTATATTGTACTTCCGTAGTATGTGTACCAGGTTAGGGTTAGGCCATAGTTTTATTCCAATTTCCCTTATTTTAGTTCTATTACGAGTTTGGGGACTACATAGATGACTCCTGTATTTGTACCTGAAATTATGGCCTAACCTGGTACACATTCTACGTTCCGATGTCCGCCATCTTGATTCACTTACTTCGGGAGTACCATTTATATAAATTGATAATAGCAGTTTCTACAAATAGAGAAACTAATAAGAAAGAAGTAACTTGAAATGATCTTACATTATGTGCATATGTATGGTTTTAATCAACATGCCAGAATCTAATTACAATTAATCAAAGAAGTTTAAATATTTTATTTTTACTGCTTTTTGTCTGATATTGGGTTCGCTACTCAGCATTTGGCATTTTTAATGAAATGGACAAACTGTACTTACATGTACTTTTGGTTGAAATCTTTGGATTCAAGTTCTGTTATAAAGTTGTTGTCAAGATCAAGAACCTGTGCAAGTATATGGCCTGGAAATCTCAGAATCTCTGTGATACTTCTGTTCGAACACTGCACCTGTTTTTAACATAATATGTCAATTGTCAAAGCTTCTCCAGGCAGTTATAGTAAAATATGAATCCCAAGTAAATTTTATATTGTTTTGCTTTTCATTGGTGTATGTCGGTTACCTAATTTTTACAATTGAATAACTTGTTGGACAAAACAAACCACCATATTTTGTAGGAAGACATTGAAAAAAAAAATTTTAATTCCCCAAATGAACAAATTTATAAGACTAAAGTCCTACTTATTTCTATAATATCAGTTTATATTAATTGAATGATATCGAAAAACGCTCAAGTCAATTTTAGCCTGTTCACAGATTTAGAATTCGTTTCATTACATAGAAGTATGGAAATACTTAGAATCTAGTATTCTCAATTTCTCACCTCATTTTTGTAGCATTCACAAGGACAATGATAATTGTCACAACTCAGCGAACAATCACTTTCAACTTTGCTGATGAAATTAAAAATAAATAGGAATATCCAAACCCAAATACTATCACAGGGCTTCATTATATACATTATCGATATCCCAATAAAGCTGAAAATGACTAAACCTTGGAAACCAATTACTGACAAATATATGAGGCATGAAAAAAGATAAAAATCATTTCTTGTTTGATCAGCCAGGTTGTAAGTACTTTCAGTAATTGTATTGTAACAAGTGGATTAGATTACTACTTGAGAAGAGAACCTCCTGCTTTCACACTTTTCTTTACAAATATCCACTTTTGCTTAAGTGGTCACCAGATACTTGAGAAATTTGTTAAATTTTAACACTTTAAAGGGGAGACTGATTAATCAGACTACCCTTGAGAATGTTGAAATATTTCTTACAAAAAAAATTACCGGTAATTGAATTTGAATAGGAAATTGGTTGGCAGCAGAGTAATTGAACATAATGATAAGTGTTTGCACAGTGTTGGCCCTTTAGGACTTTTATACTAAATTCCAATTCAAACAGATTGTGATGGGAATTTTACATGTTTTTTTGTTTTCTGTTGAACTGTTTTCGATTTTCTCATGTCTCACCTGTAGTTTTACATAACATAATATAGATGTGAAATGGATTTACTTCTTAAATCTTGGCATTACAAATAATTTGTTTATTACTCTGTGTTTATGTACATGAATTTCATCTCATCATTCAATGCATTGGGATGAATTTTGAATATTTATAGATATACAGTGGTACTTCGGTATTCGAACATAATTTGTTCAGATTGGTGTTCGACTACCGATTTGTTCAAGTACCAGAACTTTTCTCGCCTTGAGAAATAATTGTATTTATTTTAGGATAGGATGGGATTTACATATTTATCCCGGGGGAGAGGAAAGCCGATAAGACGGCTCATCCATATGGCGAACCACGGCCTCTCGTCCGGTTACCATTCCAAGTCGGGTATGGGATTAGATTTACTGAATGTTTGTTTTCGGAATCATGGACTTGGTGGTGGAGGAAGCCGTAACCGACCAGCGGTTACGTGAACCACCCAACGACGGCGAGGAGTCCAGCAATCCTCTCGCACATAACCATCCCTGCATGGGATTCGCACCTGCGAACCCACGCAGAGTAGTTAGAGGTGCGGTGGCGAGCGTATTCCTAACGCTTAGCCCGTTGAGCCACACCGCCGCGCCTGTTTTAATCTGTTTTTTACGCATTCCAAAATACCCAATACCCGGATTTTGGAACACCAAATTTCTGTTCAATGTCGCAGCATTTTTGACTAGAATTTTTGGTCAACTACCGAAATGTTTGAATATCAAGTCATTCTCCTACCGACGTATCACTGTATAATGATTACTTATTAAAAAACAGCAGAACATTTTGCTTTGTGCTAATTTGTTATACACGAAATATGGTATAAAATATTGTAATTTCCCTCGCTTTTTCTTTTTATAAAGATTCTTTTTTTGAATTTTCCTAGGTACAAACTTTTTGACTGGTGAAAACCAATACAAACTTATGGTTCGACAATGCTATCCATACAAAACTCTTGGCAAACAAAAGACTGAGAGTTTACGAGCTCATCCAGCAATGGAAGAAGTATCTCGATGTATAAAATCAGATGGAACTGTGATTAAAGTTATGAAAGATGGATCGACTATGGTGCGTCATAGAGGAATTTAGAATCTGGAAACAATAGATAAAGTGAAATTTTTATTACTGGATGGAAAATGTTGCATGTTGTTTCTTAATTTTAGCATTAGCATAAAATACTTCAGCGTCACAGTACATTTGAATTTTTTGTTAATTAAATTGCATTTTTTCATATTATTAAATGATGCATTGTTGTTTTTAGTGATTTCGTTTTACATAAAGTCTCCTTACAATTTGAAAAATTAAAAAAATAATATTAGACATGTTTAAAATTGTGAATAATAAGACTTTATGGATAGCCTACCCCATATTTTAAGTTGATTTTGTAAGGATGGGCTTGTGTATGATTTTTATCACTGGGATGTGGAATGTGATTCCAGTTACAACCAAAAGTTCTCTTTATTAATAATATAGGTTAATAATATATAGGTTGCAAATTCAATGTATTTATTCGTTTACACAGTTGCAGTCCAGCGATGATTGTTGTAGCGAGTTTAAAATTAGATAATTGCTGTCCTTTAGTGTGTTGTTGCTTCAGTCTACTGAATATTGACCCGCTTACTGCTAGCATCAGCTATCCACATCATATGCATTTTTCTTCTGTAGTTAGTAACATTTACTTGTGATATATTTTCCTTCAGATTCATTCTAGATATACTTTAGATTCATTCTAGATATACTTTAGATTCATTCTTGATATACGTTAGATTCAAGTTGCATAAAAACTTATATCAAGGTACAATACTCACTTTCTAATTCCTTACACTTACATAACAGGTATTATTTGCCGATGGTACAACCTGCTTCAATCAAGGAACTGGGCCATTGGTACAGGAACGTAAAATACCTGTCACACCACACAGCATGCCTTCCGCTGTTGCTCAACAGTTACAAACACAAGCATCGACTGATGAACAGAGAAATTCAACTTCACCAGGAAGCAAGAAAGGTGATTTATCTAAGCTGAATGGATAGATGGATAAAATATCATTGATTGAATTTTTATAGCCATACCAATCTACAAAAGTTTTTTTACTACTTGTGATAATAAAATTGCTTCTTGGCCAGTAATGCAAATAATGATGAAAATGTTCTTTTAAAATTTAATTTGTTATGAGTGGCCCAAAAAAACAGAACCCATAAATTTTTAAATTACTTATACGAAAATGAAGGAAATTTATTTAACGTTTCAACTTCTGATTGCATACGATTGTACCCAAAAGTTTCACTAATATAAGATGATATGCACAAAAGTTATATTAATTCTAGAATATGTTCCAAACAACCTAGGTCCTGTTTTTTGGGGGGAGGTAACCCGTATTATCAATTTTCCAGATTCAGAATATTATTTGTAATCTATCTATATTAGTAAATCACCCAGTTTCGAATATCCCTATTCTGGTTTTTATAATATTTTGTCAACACTCATATTTTTTAGGATCCAAAGGTCGAAAATCCAGTGGCAAAACCAATCCCAACACAACTGCCACTGATCCATCTGTGGCAGGGACAGATACTGGTGGTGGAGCAGGAGGAACCTTGACTGCAGCTGCGGGTTTAGAAGCAGATGCAGGTGCAACAGCAGAAGCTGATTTAGAAAGAGCAGCATCATGGCACACTGTGTGTATGAATGGAGAAAGATATGTTACCAAACCAAATGGAGAGAAAGTCAATAAAGAACCATTGTTTTGTTATTCAGCTACTGATCCAGTCACAGGGGAAGTAAGTCATATATATCTTATATGGTAGTAATTTTTTTTTTTTTTTCATTAAGAGAGATGCTTTTCTTTGCGACGTTTTCATACCTACATTCCATATGAGACTCTGCATCCTTTGATAAATAAAAAGCAACTATTTTTGAAAGAACTTGTACCTTTTAGTTTTGCCATTCTCTACCAAATTTATTGCAGCCTAGTCAGCTAGTGGGCATGGGGTCTGAATTCAATATTTTTAACATAAACCCCAGACTATTCAGGTTAAATGCTTCAACTACCAGCCAGCATTTCCCAATTGTGACGAAAATACAGAAATATTACTTCATATTTTAATAATACTGTTTAGTTATTTAATATTATTGTATTAAATATGTAGCCTATGCATACATTTTATAAGCTATTCAAAATATACAAAGCCAAAGTGTGATTGTACGTAACACTAGCTAAGGATTCTTTAAACATTGAACAAATAACTGAAACAGAATTTTATGCCTAGTGTAGAAGAACATAGATATCCAAAATAGACAATAGGTGGAATATATTGAAAAGAGTTGAGAAAAACAGTAGCAGCCCATTGTGCTGATTTTGGGGAGATTCATAATACAAGAATTGTCCTGGTCTAAAGTGGTAAACTATTGTTACCAAGGTACTGTTGTCAAGAGAAGATCATGTGATTCGTGTCGAACGTCCAGATGGAAGTGTTGTTTGTGATCATTCTGATGGTACCAGGATAACACAATACAACAGAGAAATTGAGAAAGCATTGTATGAAGCTGAAGGAGAAGACGGTATTAAATATTTTTATTAATTCTTAATTTTTTCAAAAATATAGACTAATTACATTCAATAAGTTGGAAACGTAAAGTCAGCCACACTAGTCTACCTATAAACTGGTTAACTACAAAAAACACATTTAATCAAATAAAATGCTTAGATACTGGGCTTCATCACAGAAAAGATAAAACAAAATTGACAGTGTCAGGATTATAGCAAAAATATTGTGTATAAATATAGTTCACAATTTTATTTTTAAAAATTTTATTTATAATTAGGTCTGAATCAATTTGCTACAATAATTTGTAACTCTTCGTTAAAGTGGATTACAGTAATTTATTTTGTGATTGCTAAAATACATATTTGAGTAACTATATTATTTGATCACAATCGCTCACATTCATAGAGACCTCAGTGAATGCTTCGAACACAGTTCGACATGTAAGAGTGGAATGTCCAGGATATGCAACAATCTCATTCAACTGTGATGAAGGATCGTCTCTTACTGTATTCGGAAGTGGAACAAATTTATTAACATCTCCTGATTCAACATATCAAGTATATATGCCAAGTTAACTTTTAGTTGTCTCTTCAATTATGGTGTTACAGTTCATGTATATTGTATAAGGGTGGTTTCTTAATAGTGAACGTATAAAGTACAGTGTATGTATGGCACAAACCTGGCATAGAGGAACAATTCTCAATTCCAATATATATGAAATTAACTGTATTAATAAAAGTTTTTGGAAGTTCTATGTTTTAAGCATAATAACATCAAAATTATTTCAATTTGAAAGCTGTAAAAAGAATAGATTTTGGAGATATGTAAAAATTTCCTGTTTTGTTGTTGTTTACAAAATATTTGTAATGCTTAATTTTGCAATTTGCTCTTTATGTTCTGTGGATTTTAAACTAAAAATGTGTTTGGATCAAAAACTAAGGACATCAGTGGTTTGAAATTAAAACTCGTACAATTAGTTATATATGTGTAATATCAATATCATTCCCGTAGTGAAGTATAAGTTTATTTCGACTCCATAATCAGCATAACAGGCGATAAAATGATTGATAAAAACAAATAAATAAAAACTGATTATAAAATCAGGAGAGCAAACAAAACATTAGATAAAGTTGAAACCGTACAGAATATAAGATAGAAGGTTTTGCCAAAAGGAAGTGGTACGTGTTCACTCACCTAAAATTATTCAACTAATTCACACACACTCACAGGCACCCACACACACACACACAACCACAAAGATATATTAAACTAAGAAAAACGCAATAAACTTAAGATAAATTACATAATAAACAAAAATAAAAATGTCTCCTTATTAATAATTTCATAATGGTTTCTATTGCCAAATTGATTGATTTTCTAAACCGGAGTGAACAGTAAAGAAAAAGATTTATTAAAAAGATAGCGCCAAGCTGATTATAGTTCGAGTCAAATGTCAAATTGCCCAACCAAGGTGGGCTAGAAAATAGTAGATTTAAACAATACTCTTGTTTTAGATGAGTCACTGGAATGGCGGACGTATTGATATAGATTGTGATGGTGCAGTAACATACACTCCTCGTCCTGATAATGATTTATACGCTGGTATTACGAATGAAACAGAAACAGAAGAAGGCAAGTTTTCTTAAACATATTTAATTAGAATCAAGTCATTTTAAACTTCAAGTAAATTCACCACAAGAATTGTAAGAATTTTCATAGGAAGGATATTTTAACTCTAATTCTCTGAAAGATTTTTTCATTGATATATGTCGGAAGTAAATCTTGAAATAAGCCACAGTCATACAGGGCGGGGCAAGAAAACTCCCATATTTCATTAATTATTTAATTCATAAAGAATTTATAATGTTCAAGGTTTTTTGTGACAACCTGTGTAACACATGCTTGTTCCAGATAACAAAATAATTCTGATTATCTAAATCCTGAGAGACTGTTTATGGATGTCTTTAATATACTAATTAAATTTGAACTGTCTGCTGTAAAGATTGAATTGATATTTCATTGAAAAGCGATTGAAACGATTCTAGTAAAGTGTATTGATATCCATTCCTGATAACTATTTTTAGTACACTATAAATTTTCCAAAATTGCCCTTTTTCAATTATTTTGTTCGCAAGCCTAATATATCAAGATACTTTGGTTTAAGTCATTTAATTCAACAAATATTTTCAGGCACAAATGCAGATAATGTATTTCAAGCACAGATGACACCACTTGGTTCCTATATTATGAGACACAATGCAGATGTTTGTTGTGAAGCTCTCGATCATGAAGGAAATGTTTTTCAAGTATGTGTCATATACTGACTACAGATATATAGGGATTGATGTTTGAGCTTTTTATAATTTTTATTTTCCCATGGGCTTGAAGTAGCTCAATTAGAGTACCCATGCCATTTAGTGTCACTGAATGAGAATAGGATTGAATTGCTGTATTTATTCTGGGGAGAGGAAAGCGGATAAGACGCATTAACCATATAGTGTACCGCAGCGTCTCCTCTGGTTAGTGGCCCATGTGGTTATGGGATTAGTTAGCCAGTTATTTGTTTCAGATGCATAAACTCGATGATGGAGGAAGACATTATCGCTCAGTGGTGATGTGAACCACCCTACAACAGTGAGGAGTCTAGCAATCTTCTCGCACATTATCCTGCACAGGATTCAAACCCATGAACCTGCGCAGGGTAATCAGAGGTGTGATGGCAAGCGTGTCCCCAACAAAATAATTTTTGTTAAATTAGATTTCATTGAAATGTGAAACTGCTCGTTCTTCTTGTTCTTAAACTACTTTTCAGAATAGAAGCACTTTTGCTTCAAGTAATTCCATTGGAGTGGGGAATCCCTTGTCAGTCTATGATCTGATGACTCTAAAATACAATCGCTGATAATATCTATCTCTAGTAATATATTTCAGTTATATAATTCAGAAAACCATACAGAACTCACCGACAAATAATTGAGTGATTTGGTAACAATAAAACTCCAGATCTTTAATAATAATAAAACTCCAGATCTTCCCCAGTAAAGTTCAAGAATAATGTTAAACCCAAATCTTATAACAGGTTAAAAAATTTGGGGATATCAGTGTAACAAATGCAGCAAGTGATGGAGCATCTGGTGCTGGTGAATCAGCATCAATATTACCACAAGTATCAACAACATCTGATCCACTTGATCATCATCCACCAAGGTAATAGGTTCTGCATTTCTGTATCTGAAACTATTTTTAACATATCAGATATTCTTGTATCCCATATTTAACACATCACAGGGTATATATGAATATTTGATTTACTCTCCCTGTAGTTGGCATGTAGTCCTAATTAGAAATGCTTAGTACGTGAAGATCTTTGATTGAACCACTAATAAGGATGGAAAAAATTCCGATAGGATATGCAAATATCTCTAGATACTGATATTCACTAATTTAATATGTTACATTTTTGATAATAATATAGAAGCACTAATTTCTTATTCATCCTCATCAATTTACATTGATTTTTTAGATTTTTTATTATTCATGAGAATGGCACAGGAACTGAATTGCTCAGATATAAAGATGTACAAGAATATTTGGCAGATGCTCAACTTGATCCTACGACAGCTGTTATAAAAGAACCATTACCTGACACTCCCGGTGTTGTAGGTATGAAATAAAGTTTATAAACAGCTTCAGAAATGTGGTATCAAGGATACCTTTTTCATGTTTGTAATGCAGGTCTTTTAACTAGCTTCGTACTAACCATGATCATAAGCAGGTCCACATTCAGTTCAGTACTCATTTTGAACTCTGCAGTTGGCGCATCATGCTAAGCATTAGGGCTACATTCCGTTCTCCTCTATTGCCCTGCATGGATTGGCATGTTTGAGTCTCATTGGGATAATTATGTGCAAGATGATTGCTAGACTCCTTGCTATCGCAGAGTGGTTCACCCCTGGTCTGGATGTGGTATCCTACACCATCAAGTAAATGTTTCTGAAACAAATATCTGGTTATCTATTTCCATATATGACGTTGACAGGTAACCGAAGGAGAGGATGTAGTTTCACATATGATTTGGCCATCTGATCGACCTTCTACGAAATTCTTATTCTCCCTAGCACAGTAAATTTGGAAAGTATCCAACTGGTATCTGAGGGATAAGCAATTCATATGTCTGAATCACATTTATAAACCTGTGGTTAAACTCTCATTCAAAAAAATGCTAAAACATCTGCATCAATGTGTTCTGTTTGATCTGATGCTGGTCCTAAAGGACACTTATATCATATTTAGTGGTAATTGAAATTCTCATTTATCAATGTAAATAGTAAGATAAAACTGCCTTGATAACTTTACCCCAGGATAAATATGTAAATCCTATTCTATCCTGTATAAAATAAAGTCTGAGGGATATTTCTGTTGCTTATAACGAAGCATAACATCAATCAAGCTTCTTTTGAGTACAGTTCCTTCCAAGGAGTTGATGTGAGTCTCCAGTTTTGTCATACATATATTTTTTTACTCAATATTTCAACTAAATTTTCCTCTATCTTGCAACTTCATAATAATATTGGCAATATTTATTATCACAGGAATCACAGTAATGCGTCCACATTTTGGTAACAGTAGTGAAGCTTGGCTAACTCAAAAATTGGAAGAAAACATATTACCAGAAAACATTAGAAGTAGAGATCTTGCACTGTTTCCACAAAGGTATGTTTTTCTAATAAACTAATAATAAAGTGTTCTGCTTCTGAAATAATGTAGAAAATGACTTTGCCGACTGACTTATCGAGAATAATGTGCCCAATTAAAAAGTTGTTTATATCAGTGCTTCTCATTCTCAACCTTTCTTCACTTATGGCATAATTTCAGCGTCGAAAGAAATCTTAGGCCCCCAAAACCTTTAATGAAGATTTTGAGTATCCTATAACATGTTATTTTATATCATGATTTTTATTATATAAACAATACAGTAAAAAAGTCTATAATCAGACCACTCCTTGTGTCTTTTTATCACCTTATCAAGTTGAACTTCCAAACCTTGGTTCAATATCAGTCATACATTTTTTCCAATAAAAACTCCAGACCCATTTCAAAAGTCACCTTGAAAAACACTGGTTTATACTTTATATATGTATTTCAAATTCCCCACGAGTTAGTCATGTGAAAAAGGGATAGGATAGGATAGGATTTACATATTTATCCCGGGGGAGATATGAGAATGATTCATTAACTTCTTAACTTAATGTGAAATATTCTTCTTAACCTCTGATCTCCATACTATCCATGAGTTTTCATTCAAATTCAGGGAGGAAAAGACAACTGGTCCACCATTTGGAACAACTGCAGGAAAAGGTCTGGCAGTTGGAAGTGCTCCTGTTATACCTGAACCTCCTCCTGTACCACCATGTCCTGCTGTTCTTGAACTCCGACAGTTGGTTCAGTTCAATCCTGTTTCTAGTGGTAGGTATTGTATGGAAACTATTTTCATATACTCTGTATGTTTCAAAGCACCATTCATCTTCAGTGAAGATTTCATATAAACTTGCATACTGATTATACTGTAAATGTATGTTACCAAGTGTTGGGGAGACCTAAGTCAGTGACTTGAAGTCGTAGTGTCATCTCTCTCTTATTTATCAATTTTATTATTATTTGTAAAATCTACTATGGCTTGGACTAAACTCAAGATTTGAGGATGCAGCGAAGCGACTTGACTTGGAACTCAAGAGTGCTGTGACTAGACTTTGGACTTGAATTTTGAAATTTGATGAGACTTAAGACTAAGATAGCCCAAGGCTTGACTTGACAGGATTTAGAGACTTGTACCCAGCGCTGGTTACCCATGCTTCGAATACTTAATACTCAACAATTTATGAACATTTCTGAGAACAACACATAAGAATAATATATTTAAATTAAGAGTATTTATAATTGTAACATTTTTAAATGTTGTCCGGATAGCAGCTCCATGCTATGTTCTTCTATTGTGTTTTTGGTTTGAAAATTGTGGGGCTCCGCGATTACTTCAGAGAAGCATACGGGGTTCACAGGCACATAAAGTTTGAGAACCACTGATCTAGGTGGTTAAGTCTCTCTTTTTGTTGCCACCAAAATAACTTGCCTACTAGCTTTTAATCTTCTTGTATGTGACAATCGTTTTTATGTTTAAAAAAGATCTTCGAAGTCATTTGAGAAACAATTTGATTGAGATTGGGAATATGATAAAAAATAGAGAAAAACAAAGACAACAAGCAGAAGTGAATGATCCAAGATCTTGGGATGAAAAAGTTCGAGCAAATGATTTGTTATCGCTTGTTCTAGAATTTGATGAAGGACAGGTATGTGATTGATACAGTAAAATATTTTCTAATAATTGAATTTCATTTATTTAATTAAAAAAAAATAATCAAATTATGTTTGTGTCTGTTGTGTTTTATTGTTTTCTCATTGTTCCGCGCATCGTGCAAGGTATAAGGAAAACTCTCGTTGTTTCACTGCTGATTGCCCTGAATGAGTTCTCATGTTCATAATCGCTGAGTGATAATTATGTGCAGTGATTCACATTACCGCTGATCAATTACGGCTTCCTTTATCACCGAAATCGATCCAATAGAACAATTTACTGGTTAAATATCCCCATGCCTGGGATGGCCACTTGATAAGTCACGGTTCACCATTTGATTTATCGCCTTAGTGTTCCTCTATCATAGCATGAATGTTAAAATTCTTCAAATTTCAAGCTGTGCAACTATTTGAAAATTTTATTAAACAATATATATATACATATAATATTTGGAAATCTGTATTTCTATCTCATTCAAGTTCACAGTTTGCATTTTTCTTATTCACTGTGTAATAACTGTACATTATCTTGCTTCAGTCAAGTCAAACAGAATATCAGTCTGGTCTGTTGGCTACACTTTACACTTATTTTAATTTACATTTGTTATTTTTGGTCTAAATTTAAAGTAGAGCATGTTAAAAACTGTCCTCAATAAATTACCTTATCAATACTTCCCCTTAATTAAAACTAATTCTCCTCTAAAGATGTAGATTTTAGATTCAATATGCCTTCTTTTCGATATTTAACCAGGTTTCTCCTAAATCTCCAACTGCACCACAACCATCTGGTCAACCTGCCGAAGGTGTAAAGACTGCAACAAAGGCTTCAGCAGTTCATAATCAACAATCACCAAATGTTATAAGAGCAATTTATGAAGAAGCTGTCACCCCACCACCTATGCAGAAACCTGATCCACCAAGAAATAAACTGACGCAAGATGATTGGGACAGAATAAGGTTGTCTGATTTATAAATTGAAGAAGACTTATTTCATTGTGATAGTATTTCTACAATATTATTCTGTTAGTTACGCATGTTACTATGATTATACTTTATTGCACATATCTCTAATATAAGTCAGAGTTTTTGAGACCTGTTGATAATAGTACTTTATTTATTCAATTTTTAATGGATCCTTGGATGGTGTTATATGCAAGTGACTTTTGTACAATTTATACCAATATACTGGACTTAACTTTTCCTCAATGGCATTGCCCAATGCCACCACAAAACTGTCATACTCCTATTCATGTTTTTATACAATAAAGCCATGCTATGGCAAGGGCTTTCCCAACTTGTAAGTAACAAATTTCAGCTTTTTTGATAGCATCCATAAACACCTTTGTTTCTCACCATCTAAATTTTCTCTATCTTTCAGACGTTCTATCGATGAAGAGAAGCTAGGTCGTGGAGCATTGAAACACAGGGATGTTCCTCCGTATTTTGAAAGTGAAGAAGGCAGGGCATGGTTGATGACACAAGCACCTGATCTTGAAGCACTTTCACGTCAACTTGCTCCAGATCCTCGGAAAGATGGCACGGAAGCAAAAATGGCTAGGAAAGAAAAAGTTGGTGATAAAAAATCGGTGTCGCAAACAACACCGGCGAGAGGAAGTGGAGAACCATTGACCACTCCATCGCAATCCAGAGCTTCAGAAAATGGTGAGCTGTTCTTTCAACAATTTTTAGCTGAATTTACTTTTCACTGATTCAGTTGTTTCCAACTGGGGCTTCGCGGCACCCTGTGATTTCACCAGTGCAATCGAGGGGTTCCGCAAGTTTTCATTCAAATCCAGGAGTCTATATTAATAATGTATACTGTTTGAATGTAATCAAATATTAGGTTTGTCACTGCTATCAAACTTGCTACACCTTTTAGAACATTTTGTTTTGCCAGTATTAGGTTTGTTTTTATATATATTTATAGTTTACACGATTTTCAGACAATTTGACTATTGCATATCAGTTTCATTGGTGTCTTTCTCCTTTTTCATAATTGCAATTTTCGCCAGGCGCCACCACCAACATTCCGGTATCTGACACTCCTTCGAAAATGCGACCAACTAACCCAACACCTGGTCATGCGAGTGGTTCTGGAACACCTACAAAAGTACGACCAGAAAATCCAACGCCATTTGCAGCATCCCAAGCAAGGCAGGCAGCTAGACCAAGTAATTTTTTTATCTTGACATAGCTGGCCCACTTACCTACACAAATTCAAATTTTATATACCAACCGTTTTATCCTTAACAATAATTCAAAAACACCAATAAATGTATGAAAGTCCAATATCTCGGTGTTGGACACTCGAACAATAACGATGAAACGTTACAAAAAATGAAATGTAAATAATTTAATGGGTGTACTTCTTTTGTATTTAACTTACAAACCTCCAAATTCTGACTCCATGTTGCTCAATGAAATATTTATGCACATATCCACACTACTGAAGCAACTCATGTTCTTATTCTTGATAATTTTTAAAGCAGAAAATACAGTTCACACAAATAGATATTGAGAAATGGCACACATTGACCTAGTCCACTGAAAAAAGAACTCTCACGGAACCCTACAGAACCCCCAAAACTAACAGAACTTCGATTGAAAAGCACTAATATATTTTTATGTGCATATTTTGAACATACAATAGTCAATGTCATTTTATGAGTATGGTAAAGTACTTCCATGTTTCATTAGGTAATCCGACCCCAAGCCATGCATACAGTGGAGGATCGAATGCAAAAAGACAAAGCCTACCAGACGTGAATTATGGACAATTCCAACCTTCACCTATCCCTGAAAACCCAACTTCTGCTCAAAGAAGAGAAGGTATAAATAAACTCAATAATAATGTTTGATTTATTATAACATTCTGTCTTTTATGTTTTTACTTCTCAAAGCCATCACAGTGATAGGGTGACCCAAAGAAACTGTACCCACAAAGAGTTAATATTCATATGAATTCATATGAAAATTTTACATATTCATTTGAATTTTTGATTCAAGTTAAGTCAATAGTTGCTACTGGAACAATCTCGTCTCCTATGAGACTGAGGATTTAACACTTGAACTTCTGTTTGTGTATGATTCTGCCCAAAAGTTTACACTCTTCACAAATTTTCACTTCTATGTTCTTTCTAGAATATGTGTTCAAATTAACTTGGGTTATGTTTTTGAGGGTCCATGTTTTCAATGAGATATTCAACAATGATTCCCTGTAAGTTGGAAAATTTCAAAAAATCTAGTTTATTTGTTGATTTGTTAACACTTCCATTTCCATGTAATTAGGAATCTTTGCGACAAGTTCTTTGTATTTTAATTTTTTGGAGATTACAGCGAAGCATGGTACTGTGAAATATCCATTTTTTTGTGCCATTGAGATAATCATGTGATTTTTTTTGCTTTTGGTAACATTCTTACAGGAGCATCATTTATTGAAGACAGTTCCTCATCGAGTGGAATGATGATGCAAATGGAAACAACTGGAGGATCAGATCTTGTTTTGACAAGAAGTCTACTGTACGATGTTAATGGTGAACCAAGAAAAGAGAAAGTCAAATTACCAGCTTCAATACTTAGTGATAAACCAGCAGCTTTTCCAAATAAACAGGTTTGGTTTGCTGTAGTGTGGAATTCTGGACAAACCGTTGCTAGCTACGCATATATTAAAGTTGAAAATCCAATGTACAACCAAAAGCTATATGTGAAATATAAAATAGCCACTGGCGCATGACCTTGCACACAGAGCACAAACCACACATTCACTGAAAAATTAGAACAAATTTGCATTTGAAAAATTTCAGTACAGTCAAAAGTAAATCTTACTATAAATTCTTATTATAGCAAACAACTTCCTTTCAATGTCTAAATACAAATTGAAATTAAAACAGCAATTTACACACTCGACTACTTTTCATTCAACCTTAGTAGTAATTTTTCAACCATATTTTTTATTCAACGCATGCAAAAATATTTCTGACCTTTATCAATATAACAGCATATCAATCAAATTTTATAAAAAATTTCATTGCCAAATCGCTGAAAAATTTTCCACTCATTCATTACTTATAATGTATGTTGTTTATCTAGTTCACATCAGTTGAAGATCCTGTCAGAAGAAAAGTAAAAACATCATCAGTTGCTGAATCTGTTATGCGAGGAAATGCGAAGAGAGGATTTGAATTGTTACCACCGGAGGTTTGGTTTTACAAGAGATGGATTTGTTAGCACTATTCAATTCTTAGAAAAAGGATTCTTGAAAGTCTTCTAACCTATTAAAATATATAAAAATCTAAATCTCTGTCTTGTGACTAGTCCTCCATGATATAGGCAATTGCGGAGATTTGAACCCTTATTGTTTTTGTAACTTGCATACATTATATATTTTCATTTGCCTAAATTGACTACACTCATGTGTATGTATGTCTGAAGATGAATTGTGTGTATATATATGAGTATAAAAATAAATTTAGGTGCCTAATATATGGTCAATCTTCAAATGTAATCCAAAAATATAAAAATATTATTATATATATATTATATATGTGTCTAGTAAGCTCAATATATCAGAATATTTTTTGACAGTTGTCATTTTTCAACTTCTTAATAGCCTTACTTCTCATATATGTGATGTACTATTTTAAAAATGGATTTTACATTACCTTTTTTCAACATCTTATTTCAACCTTCATTCATGAACTTTATTTTCAGATTATTTTTGGGGTTTTGAAAGAAGGGAATACATACAGTTATACAGCAAGATTGAAAAACACTGGTATTGATACTTGTAGATTCAAAATCAAACAACCTCCACCTGGCACTGGATTAAGAGTTCATTATACTCCGGGCCCAGTGAGTCATTTTTCTTATTTTTCCTTCCCACCAAGGAAGTTCATGTGGAGACATAGTTTTATATTTTCTGATATTGGAATCAAAATTCAAGTTGTATTTACAGAATTTGCCCATACCAAAATGTTTGTTGCCTAAATCTTTTGCATCTTGAATCTGGTATTGAATTCTAAGTTGTAAATTTTTTGTCCATTTGGAGTCATATGGAACATTCATCTTACCACTCAACTAATACTTGCACCATTTCCCCACTCCGGTTTTATTATTCAGGGTATTGTAATCAGGGATGTCCAAAACGAATAGAATATTCGAATACATTCAAATTTCATTATATTTGATATACCAATTTTTTTATTTTAGGAATATATTTATACCTGAAAATTAGTAATTTCAAGCTGCCAGACAAACAGATAAAAACGTACAATATCTCAAGTGATAACAAACAACACAGAGAAAACAACGACCTTTAAATATATATGTCGTTCAAAATGTGATCAACATGAAGATATAGTAATTTTCTACACAAACTTGCCCCCAATTTAGAATCTATTCGATATTCCATAAACTATTTTTTCAGAATGTATTCAAAATAGTGAGTTTTTGGTTTTGGCAATCCCTGATTGCAAGATTCATATTTACATTTGCTACTTACTAGGTTGCAGCAGGCATGGATACTCTTCTTCACATTGAATGCTATGCAATTGCCGTAGGTGTAGAAGGAGATTCTGGTGTCGGTACCATCAACCATCAGATGGAAATTATAACTGAAACTGAGACATTATGTTTACCGATCTCAGCAAATATCCTTTTCTAATTGGACTAATATTCTATTCAAGGCTTGAGGCTTGTCTAATGATACTTACTAAACGTTGATTCCCTGAATTCTGCAATAGTTCGAATTTGTTACTGGGTGTTGCAACACATTCACATATTTGAGTCAATTAAATTAGCTGACCATTGCCATAGTCTAGGCATATTTTCTAGTTACCTTGTCCCATTCTTCCACCTTCGAAACAAATATGAAATTCAATTAGATATATTATAGGCCTCCGCTCAACTTGTTTCACAAATGGGTTGGACACAAAAGTCCCCACAAGGCATGTAATACATAATAAAAAAATATATAAGATACCAGAAAACAGACCGTGGGAATTTGCAATAGCCTGTAAAATTGCAAATGATTTATTTTCCCATTTGTCAGTGAAAAACTTCAGCAGAGAATCAGCATAGTAGTAACTGTTTTTTAAGTAACCATTCTTCAATTGCTGGGAAAGCCTGATATTCATCCTGTTTTTTGGTAGCTTCTCACTATATGATTTGATCAGGTTATAGGAGACCTTTATCCGCTATAAATCAGGCAAGGAAATATAAAACTAGCTTTTATGTTGTATATCTATTCCTTGACCAGAGCTTTCACTAGTTTTAACCAGTCATGACTATGAGAACAGAAGTGAATCGATGCCACCTGATGGAAAAGCACCGGGTGTAAAGTTGTTGTCTGCTAAACCACCATCAAGGGAAGGAATTGTCAGACCAATGAAAGTCGCTTCATAAATTTTTCACAAGTAAGAACATGATATCAGGTTCTATTGAGCTGATTTTGTGAGCTTTTTAGTCGAACGATGAACTGCCCTGCAGTTTGCTTCATTAAATGCATTATTAGCTGCTATGTATGAGTGATGACCTGTTCATTGTCTGTCCGTCTCATAAACACAGGGTGAAACCCCCTAAAATGGGCCATTTAGAACTTGTTGTAGAGAGAATATGACTTTTGTGCAAAGCGTCTTGGGTTGCTGAAACTTTTAGATACAATCGTACACATACACACACAAGTGTTATAAACTCTTTCATTTTTGTAGGAAAAATTTATGGGTTGTCATTTTTTTGGGTCTCCCTGTTAGCATCCAATGAAATTAATACAATGATCCTCCAAAATTTGCATCGGTGTTGAAAAAATATATAAATCCAGAAATTTCAACACTTCAATAGAAGATATACATACTGATCATCATTTTTTATGTGATTCTCTTATTACAAGCATCTTTTATTTATTCAGGTTGTTGGAGAATGCAACAAAATTCTTGTTGAGAAAACTTGTATTATAATAAACTTATAATTTGTTAAAAGTAAATATATATTTTGATACTGCATGTTATTTCTTATGGTTCCTGCTTTCTCAGGGGGGTTGCCAAACGAAACAATAAAATGCATCTGAATCAGTGATGGAAAAATAGAAATTTCTACACGAGCGAAATAACAAAAAATGAGAAACATTGGATACCAATTGTTAGGGCTTCAGTGCTAAAATCTAAATAGACTCATTCTTACCACCATGTCTTGTCTGTTGATGGCATACATTTTAATTTGATGGACCACTTATGCATTGGATTTTTGTGTTTAAATTATCTTTGAGTAGGTTTTACTAAATTATTGCAACTGTACGTGACGAGGGTTAGTGTGCAATCACGTTGAGTAAGTATTTATCCCAGTTCAGTTGTTAATCTGTGAGTTTATTTACTGTAGAAGACCACTTTCTACGCACAATGAAATGAGTAATATATAGGTACAAGTTATGCATTTTCATCACCATAGCTTCGGTATCACCTGATGAGACAAGGCAGATCTTTTGCCAATTGAGCACCAATGTGCGCTCTCTTTTCGAGCCCTCAGGCTCCATATGGAACACTTTGAGAACCTGTGGTACACGCAACAAAGCACCTCGTTTTCATAAGTAACTTACTTCTGGCACTTTCTGGTCCATAGCCAATCTGCCCAATAAGTTGACCCCAGTATGTTGCGAAAATATCCAAATGGGGTCATGTCATGACGCAAAAAGTGTTGGGAACAACCACTCTTAAACATGAATAAATCATCAAACATGGGGAGTGTGTTCACTATCACATAGACAGAGAAAGCTGACGAATGGGTCAGATCTGAAAGCTACTTGTTGATTCACACATATCCTTGTACAGCATCAGCCGCTATTACTTGAAACGTACGTAAACTTGGAAAAAAGAGGCAGGTAGAAACGAATGAAGACTACTATTATACCCTCAATATAAATTGTCACATTCCACAAATGTGTCCTAAATTTCTTCAAACAAACACCTTTGGTCTTCCCTGCCTTTGAATAAATAGCTGGCAAATAAACAAATGAAATGAAGTCTACAACATAGCGTGACGAGACTTAATGAAAGATGTCAAGCTAAGTGGCTGCGACTTCGATAATACTAAAACCATGCAGAACAACATTTAGCAAGTAACTTTGTTTTCGATCCATAAAACCACACTTTTCTATGAGTCATGTTTATTAGGTGTATTTACATTTAGTATGTCCATAACAAGAGGCTTGATGCCATACATGCAAATTGAAACTGCATATATAAGATATAGCACCCGCTGTGTATCTATATAGTCTACAAATAACTCTACCAAAACTTGGACGTACCAAAAAATAAGCTTTGAGTAAAAGGAAAAGGGGGCTCATCTTATTGAATTTACACATATTTGTGCATAAAACTCAAACATACATAAACTACTTGCAAAAAATCAAAAGTAGGCCTTATTGAAAAAGAAACACAAAATATATATCATTATTCAAACATATCACCATTAGCAACTGTACTCATGATCTTTTGTTAAAACTTAGCCTTCACACAAAGGATGGAACGAGCAAAAAATGATGTTACAACATTACCAATGAACAGTAAATAAAAAAATTTCTAAACAGTTTTTCAAATCAGGAATTGTTATCACAATGCTGCCTGATTACGAGAATGTAATAGGCATAGTTGAAAATTTGATGACCGAGAGAATTCCACATGTCTACATGCTACACACAACTTAAAATCACTGGTGTGGCTTAGTTATTGCAATGGGACTGAACACAATAAAGAATACTTAATACAGTTCCAGTTAAAATTTTGCAGAAATATTTCTGGAAAAAATTCGATCAAAGCATAGCTAAATAAAATCCCAACTACTTCTATGGCCTATAAACATTCACTACTTATTATATCACCACAATCATTGAAATGGTAAATTCATATTTCCAAGAATAGTTTCAAGTATACTCGTCTTAATGTAATTCGTAAAAATATTAAAAACTATACATCAGCTATAGTTTAATACAGCAAACCAATTAAAAATGCATTCACCAACAAATATTGCAATTGATTCAGCCATCTTTAAAAAATTTAAAAGCATTTACTTTTCTCTCTTGAGTAAAACTAGTCAAACAAAACTCAAATTTTACACGGAGACCCAGAAAAACAGAACCAATAAATTTAATATTAACTTCTGCAAAACTGGAGAACATTTATTTCAAGATTTAAACTTCTGTTTGTGTCTGATGGTACATACCCTAAAATTTCAGTAACCAAGGACGATATGCACAAGAGCTATGCTTTTTCTAGAATATGTCGGGTTCTGTTTTTTTCAAGGCCACCCTGTACAACACATTTAATTTTGAGGAAAAAGCTGAAGTTCATGTTTGAACTGTAAAAACAAGGCACAGAAAAAGAACAAGCAATAAAACATGCATCACAAAAACTGAAATACACCATATTTAGTTACCCATCTGAAACTAGATACCTACTTAACATAAAAAACAACATGCATAATGAAGCTGTAAATGATAGCTATGGTTAGAAAATTAAAGCGGTAAAATCAACAAATGAGTTACAAAACATACAGTTATATATAATACACAAATAAAACCTGAGCAAATTTACACTTTTGTCAAAGTTGAATAGAAATAAGCTTGAGGACTGTTCATGCTTATTGAATACAACAAGATACCTACAGATCAAATGCCAGACATTGTAATAGGTAAGTCTACAATCTTGATCTTACAATTCAAATGTAAAAAAAAGTGGAAAATAAAAAGCCTAAAATTCTTCCATCTGTAGGGTTACAACAAATGAATGCTCTCCAACTTTGACAGTTTTTGCAAATTTTAGTCTCGCTATCAGCATGCAATATCATGACAAGAAAAATTTCTCATTAAATGTTAAAACTTAAATGTACTTTTTAGGAGACAATAATTACAAATTTATTATTGATAAAAATTTAGTGCAGTGTTACTACAGTTAGGACAATTATGGTTTCCTTGTCTCTCTTTATTGGAAAATATCTTTTCTATGAGTCTGTGAATCTGATATACAACACATCTTCAAATCAAGATTCTATTTTGCTCCAGGTATCTGCTTCAAGACCTAATTGCAAAAGAAAAGACGATTTATATGAATAGCTAGTGAGAAATGGAACACGCGGGTCAAAAACCACTGAATATAATGATGACATGATAATGATATAGCACAAAGAGTCAAAATATGAAAACAAAAATTTATTCTTCGAATATCTGTCATTTTTCAACCGCCGTATTCAAATTCAGGTTTATATTGAAACTAATTATAACCAAAAATAGAATTTCAACCATTCGGACATCGTATGGTGCTGCACAATAAGAATTATTACCAAGCAGTTTGGAAGGAAGTAATTAAGGAATGTGGGAGTAGGAAATGAAGCAATTTCCTTGACACACAGACTAAATTCACAAAACCAATGTTCCAATCATCAGCTCTACCGTTACACAATAAACATATAATTTATAATTGGCAGGACATCAGAATACAGTGAGGTTTATTAACATAACTTTTGTTGTAATCAATAATTTGATATTTTCAGCAAGTACTCATTTCAGTAGTTGGTCCCTTTATTTTCAAGTAATATGGGGATTGGGGAATAATTATATTTATTGTAAAATCTAAAACTAAAGATATGCTAAGGAAATAAAAGTGTGTAGTAAATGGATTTTTATTAACGGTATAGTCTATGTGGACAATATGACTAGAATCCTAATTAACTTGTTGTATTGAGGAATGCAAAAATGTCCAAATATATGCAAAGGTAACAACCAACCTTTGACAAGTCTACTCCTGTAATGGCTTGTACAGCCGGTGGTAGCTCGGATAACAACTTTGTCACTTCACTTGTTGTGCGATCTGCATCACCAAGCAGCACAATCTCATCGATGCGAGACAATGGTGCTGCTACTTCAGCCGCAATCTAAATAAAATACGGAAGGATGTCATTAAAATGTTTTCATGAAAGAAAAATATACAGGCATAATATCACAATTCACCAGCTATGCCCTTTGATATGAAAAATCAAAACAATAACAGATAACATTTTCAAATGAAAAAGACCAATGCAAAACTATGCTTTGAAATCCAATGCTTAATTATGTTGATTGCATGGAATGAATCATCAAATGTTAATATAAAATATAACTATTTCCAGATTTCGCATGATAGGTTGACATTTGATACAAAATGCCATATGTTACAATCAGGGATGTCCAATTCTAATTTAATATTCCAATTCCACAACCTCCAAATTTCGTTTTATTTTTATTTTATAATTATCTTATATTTCAATGTACCGTAATTGAAAATAGTCATTTGTTGAGGCAAAAATCACAGCCAACATGAAAGAATTTAAATATTAATAAAACAGGATTTTCTGTCTTCATTGTCAGAAATTTTGGAATCGGATTCAATCCTTTAATTATTTTATTTTTATAATCTTATTGATGACTGGTTTGAACATTTGACTAATTTATCTTGGTACTACTCCATTTTGGTGTGTTTACATGTGGTTCACTGCATCGGATTATTGGCTGATTACTTGATTTCTACTTGTTGTGTTTAACTGTCTAGTGTCTAGTACTTTGTCTATGTTTAGATCTGTTCACATAAGCTTGTTATCGATGCTATAGTCATTGGGTATGGATAATCTAAGTTTTTTACATTGGGATTATCAGTTTTGACAAAGCCTCATTTAAATGTAAGTGAATTGGTATATTCTTACTTTATATTATGCCTGGTTGCTTTGTCAATGGGCAGAAATCCAAACTAATGACGATTGCATTATAACATCTGTATTTTTCGCGAGCAAGATGAAAATGAATCGGCATGTTCGTGTTGGCACTAGACTTGATACTGGTATGGAAGGATATTGTGAGAAGAAGCGGCAAAAATTGGCTAATAATTTCGATGGGCGAAAATACAGCCTACCAAAAAAGTCAAAATTTACAGCTGAAATTAGTCATGCCACAAAGTGTGTGTGTTAATAAGGACTTTGATTTTACTGTTGAATTCAAACATTTCATTAGGCACGTAGGTGCTCTTTTTCTGTGCTTGCCGAGGTACATCATAAGACTGTAATGTTTATTAATTCTCTATTCTCAGGAGCATGAGAACCACAAATTTCAATCATATCACACATGCCTTTGTTTCATTTATATCTGCTTCGCATGACAATGTCTTCCTTCGAATTTTAGAAAAGTGAATAAAATATATGCCTTGTGGGATTTTAGAACGAATTCGGAATTCCAGATTCCAAAATATTATTTTAGAATGCATTCGGAATAGTCTAATATCGGTTATGGCCATCCCTGGTTACAATATGGAATAGGATTATTCTCAGTGGGCTTTATCAAACAGTTGTAGATACATTCGTCAATTTAAAACAAATGGTTATTTAACATCACTATTACAAAGACTTTGTGATGGAAAAATTTTCTGTGTTAAAACTTGATTACAAGTTTAATATCTCAAATTTGCAATCCTTTTGTAAAATACCTTCGGCAGAGATTCCAAGATGAGCGACATCAAAGCAGCATCTCCATATTGTTTGTAAGCGGCAGCTTTTTGTCTCATACTTTCTGCTTCTGCTTTACCGATAGCTTCAATTGAGAAAGCTTGTGCTTTACCCACTCGTTTAATTTTCTCAGCCTCAGCTCTGGCTAGCTCCACAGTTTTCGTTCTAATCGTTGAAAAAAGGTTAATAATCTTAGAAATACAGAATATATGCATATGATTCCACCTGCGCCGCAAAAGCATAGGAGGATAAGTGACATGATTTATTTAGGTCATGGGTCAACAACCTACGGCCCGCGGGCCAGATCCAGATCGAAAACGTATCAATAGTGATGCAAGAAAAAGTGTTACATTAAATGTCATTTGTAAATTTTTTTTTTCAATCAAGTAAGACGACGAAGTTGAGTTCAAGAGCTTTCGCAGTTAATGCGCGCTGCTTATTAAAATTAAAAATTTCCACTTCTGATCTGTGTAAAAATATTGTAATTTATCGGCCATCTGCTCGGTTCTTAACTTTCTAAAAATATGTGCAGCCCGCCAAGACTTGCAACTGTTAATTTTGGCCCACGAGCGACAAAAGGTTACCAACCCCTGATTTCAAGTCATATTTTTGCACAGAGCTAGCAAAATGGGTTTCTAGTTTGTAGCTTCTAGATTATATTTAAATTTGTATAACTTGCTGAAAATATTACGCAAGACAAAAAACTGAGAGAATTATAATATATTTATCTTACTTTCTTCCCTCAGCTAAAGTTTCTACTTTGTAAGCTTCAGCTTCTGCTGGTTTACGAACAGTAGCTTCCAATTCTCTGTCTTTACGTTCAATTTCTTTTGCTTCGACATCAATCTGTTTATGCCGTTCAACAACCTGAATTTGAATTTCTTCAGCACGAATTTGTTGTCGTTCTTTTGCGGCTTGCAATTCAAACGCAAGTCTAGCATCAGCTTGCTGAAATTATACGAAATATTTACAAGGGGTAAATAGCTTACTTAAATATATATTAAAATATTGAGAAAAGTATATATTCTGAACAAACCATACCGCAGCATTCACTTCCTTCTGAAACGAAGCTTGAGCCATTTCGAACAGACGTTCTGAGTCGGCAACCTTGGTTTGTGCATCAAAAGTAACATCCATCTTTGCTTTTTCGCATTCAGATTCCTATGATTATGAAATTTTTTTTATATTAATACAAAATTGAGCATTTGAGCAATTAAATACTTTCAACGATGCGTTGTTAACATAGGTTTCAATTGTGATCAATGCCAGCAGCGTTGCCATTGATAGTAAAAAAAGTTGGACATTATTACAAATATTTAAGATGAGAGAATTCGATTGGCATAACAAAACATAAAAAAAATACCATTCATGACTGCATGTCAAGCAAGAAATCTTGCCTCAAAAGCTTTTACGCTTTACATACTACCTTACACCCAAAATGATACCAAAGCATAAAACTACCACATTCAGAATCCTAAGTCAATACCCGAATTCCTGCATCTCTGTCTGCTTCAGCAACACCAATATCTGCATCACGTTTTACAACAGCTGTTTGTGCACGTCCAATAGATGAGAGATAATCTACACGATCAGATACATCCTTGATAACAAAACTCAGAACTTCAATACCCATACGACCCACATCAGGTGCAGCAACTTCTCGTACGAGAGAGGCAAATCTGTCTCTGTCCTGGTAGATTTCTTCAACAGTGAGGGTTCCTAGGTAAATACCATTTCATTACCATATATAAACCATGATGGTTTTTGAGCTCGCAAAGTGTGTTTGATTGGAATATAAATTTGCACCATGATCAGTACAGTTCTGTTCACCATTACAATAAGAACTTACCGAGAATAGCTCTGAGATGACCTTCCAAAGTCTGAAGAAGAACTTGTTCAATCTCAGTAATTGTTTTACCCAAAAACTGCTCACAAGCTGAAGCAAGAAGATCTTTCTCAGTCATGACCTTGACCTGCAAAAATAATACAAACACTAAATTGAAATTCAATAGCAATGAGAATAAGGATTATCCAGAACAAATATCTATATTTAATGAAGAGAGACGTATATTTTAAATATGATGGGGCAGATTATAAATTATTAAATCAACTTTGTTTAAGAATGTTTTGTCGTAGAAAATCTTAGAAGTATAAGAATCAAAATAAATAGCAAATTGACAGGATAACTACACAAGTTATTTTGAGATATATATGGCCATTAGCTATTCTTAATCATTTAATTACTGTTCTACTCAAGTGCATCATAACTATACTATAACGCAATGTTTTCCAATAACATGGAAGGTGTGACCCAAAGTCCAGTCGCATAATTATAATCTTGGGTCACTTGTTTTTTCATACAAACATCAAAGATATTGATATTTTTCTATATTTGTATTTAGTATTGTACTGTTGCTTGAAAAAAATGTTCATGTGGGAAGTCATTTGGCTGAAAAATTTAAAGCAGGCCACGATTTCAAAAATCATGACAGAGTAACCATGTTATCCATTCCCTATAGGCATGGCCTTAGATATTTCAACGAAAAGATGTTATTTTCATAATAAATTATATGCATGCTTCCCTGATTAGAGGGTCCCATTTCGTATACATATTTTTTTTTACAAAAACAAGGAAAATACCTGTGCAACTCCAGTTACTGTCAATGGGACACCCTGAGCAGTTTCGACATTCTCACACACTGGATTTAACGTCATCACTTCCAATGATAATCTGGAGTTTCAAATAAAACTGTGATTCATGATCATTCTCGACAAATAAAAGCTGGCCCATGAATAGTTGCAAGTGGAATATGTGTAATGTTTGATAAGATAGTAAAATCAATGCCCCTTGATTTTTGAAACTTTGTAGTTGTATCATATTGAGAAGTAAATTGCAGTGCTTTATTGTGTAGTGAACCAAAAGCACTTCGATACCTACCAGAAACTCATAAGAGTTGTACAACGCAATATTAAAATGAAGTAAAAAAAGATTGCAATATTCAGTATTTACTTCATATATCAATAATATGTAAATAAAAGTCTAAATTTAGCACATTTTTCAAAAAATGAATCGGTTTTAGACCAGATGAGTTTTATGAATACTGAAAGACTGAAATAATATTTTGCAAAATTTCAGTATCCTGCTAGCCATTGTGCAAACAATAATGAATATATTGAAGGGCAATACAGGAATTTGAGTCACACAATATATGTTATTAGAGTCGGATATAGCTCTTAAAAACATTGTTTTCAAGTATATTGTTGACATTCTCATGCATTCATGACTATACAAATCAGGATTCATGTTACTGATCAATACACATTTATTAAAAATGAAACAGATAATCAGCAATTTTGGTCTAAAACCAGTTTGAATAAACAAAAATGATCAAGTGAGTTCTAAATTGTAGAATATGTAATTTCAGTGTCAAATAAATGGTGCAAAAAATTTCACCAAGTTTTAAAAAAGGCACCCACTTTGACATCATTGACAGTTTGATTGCAGTTCAAAACAATGTAAATGCACAGTTAATTAAAACGATTGTGATATATATAGAGAATAAGTTGCATTCAGTGCCATCAGATATTTAATACTATTCAGTATTTTCGAACATCATTGTATTTTTGTTCATTTCATTCAGCATACTATTTACACATAAGTATGTACATAACACTCTTGATCAGTGATGTGTAAACTCTACTATAAAAACTGAGCGTTATTAAGAAAACATGACTAAATGAATCATAAAGTCATGTGACAAATGACTAATGAGGCATAACGCTTTGCCTATTAAGTCAGTTTTGCAAAATATTCAACGATCACGATCACGAGAGATATCTTTTTTGTAATTCAAAGTAAACAGGGAAAAATAATCTCCTTCAATGTCACATTGTCATGTGACATAATATAACAGTCATAAATAATAATGAGCAAGTAAATGTGGTGATTGAAGATGTAAAATAGACCACAATATTACTAAATACAACAGTTTCATTACTATTTTCAAAATTATTGTTAATAATTTAAGAAACACAATACCTTTGTACTTCAGTAACCATACACCAAGCCCATGCCCATCCACCAATAACATATTGCTTATGATCACCTCCACAACATCCACCTGGATAAAAAAAATCAAAAATTATTACGGTAATAAAGTCAGAGACATAATGTAAATGTGGTTCAATACTGCAGTTCCAATGGTTGAAATGTACTCATTTACATTAGTTTAACAGCAGGAAGTGCCTTATAAACATAACATAGGCCATCAGCAATAAACAATACCAATACGGTAGCTTATATAGCTCATAGTAATTCGGTAATAGTATTTGAAGAATAAGCCATATTAAAATATGGCACAGGTTCAAAATATCATTAGAACATATAAGTATTACATATACATATATATAAATCATAAAGCAGGATCAATAAAGTAGTTCAGTTATTGAAGACCTTTTTACCACTTATGAGATAGGAGTATCACACTATCACATGAACAAAATCACATGACACGTCCTGATATAGATAGTCGAGAAGATTACTTTTTAATACTGCAAGGTACAAGATGGCAAAATAGATTAAATTGAATCATTGATACTGGAACTTGGAAAATGACATATGAAATATGACTGATATTACCATACTGTACAGAGTGTTCAAAATATACTAAAACTAAAACTAAGCTATATATGAATAGCAGTCAAACATGAATGCCAATTTTACTACTACATAATGAAATGGAACCAGAAGAAGATAAAAAGCAGCCAATCAATCAGACACATATTTAATAATTTATTAGCCATTTGTCATGAAATGATGACAACGTCAGATACAAACAGAAAGAATATATTTTGATGGTTGGAACGAACGGAAACAAGTTTGAACCATTTAAAAATAAATTTTTTCAAAATAAAAATAAAATATTTAAAATATAAATATTACTAAAATATTGGTATAAAATTATTGAAAAACAAAATGCGATATCACCTGATACAACCAAGGCTTCATTTGGTCCAACAGTATGACAATTCCCCATTTCTATAGATGGAACTCTATAACAATTATGAATAGAATTTCCTGCTGGGAAATAAAAATTGTTATAAATAAAAGAATGTAATATATCAGGTTATACAAATAATAACTCAAACTTATATACAAAATATTCTTCAACATTGTAAAATTATATACAAAAATTCAACCATACATCACATTTAGAGTGTAAAATTAGCTTCTTCAATACACATTGGGATGATAATCATAGATGAAATATGAATGTTTTGCTTAATAATCAAAATGCACAGAATATGTAACTCAGTGTATTCTAGTTTTTAATAAAGAGTAAATCTATAATTGAATTGATCACAGTGGTATAAAATGACATTTGTAATTCATTTAATGCAGTACTGTAACTTATATTCAATCTTATATATTTGTTTTTTGATAATAAAACAATTCCAGCTAAAAACAGGGAATTCAATCTAAATATTGACCAATATTTACATACATTTCATTTTAATATAATGGAAGAGCTAAATTTTTCAAATATTCATCATATCTCTGACTCTGAATATTCATCATATTCCTTCCTTTTACCAAGTAATCCAGGGTCTATCTAGTATAGTTTAGTACCACAAGTACTTGCAGTGGGCGTAACATAACGAATTTTGCATATGTTATTCCCATTTCCCAACCCCCATCTGACTATGGCATCCAAAAATTAGGTCTGTATGACATCACAATCACGTCATAGAGCCTGCCAAAGTAGAGTTACAATCGCTCGAAATCGCATCTGCGCCACCGATAACGAACTCACTAACTCCGGCGATCTCTCTCGTATCAGGATCATTGCGACGATAAAACAAGAGAAATAGCTTGCTCAGTTTTGGGTGATGTCTGCAAGTTTTGGACAACCATTCGTATATTTTGGAGAGCCTTATTACGCTGTGAATCTGTGATGACGTAATTTTTCAGTGACATGGTCAGGTGGGGGTTAGGAATGACATATGCAAAAATTGTTGAGCCAGGCCAACTATAAGTGCATGTGGTACTAAACTATACCAGACCCACAATCCAAAATTGAATAGCCAGTATGGATAATAAAAAGGTATGACTTTGCTAAGTCATATCGGAAGAAAAATACAGAAAAAAAACAGTCTAGACGACTTAATAATATTGATAAACTATCAACCCAAAACAATAAGACCACAAATTATGTGCAGTTGTTTATTTGTTGCAAAAACAAAACTAATTCGTTGTCAATTTTAGAGAAAACTTGTATAAGAGCTTAATTTATTTTTTTGCAGGAGGGGCAAATTCCTAAGTTTACATGATAAACTAAATCTATAGGAATGGTTTTAAAATTTTTCTTTTTTGAAGATCATGACCAAAATTTTTAAAATACATTCATTATATTCATACTTGAACATATTACTGTATTAGGATTCTGAAATTTTGTCACTACCTTAAATTATATTTTTGTTAATTTTGGGCTAGGATGAGTCGAGTGAGAATTGACTGGAATGGAAGCTTGGAAACACTAATTGCAGAATTGTATGGAGCATTACCAGTTGCACATCGCAAATCAACAAATGTCAAATTGATCCTCAAATTTTACTTTCAGACTTTTCATATAAATACATGACCGGTATTAGATTTTTGGCACTTATTTGAACACCTAAAGCAAGGGTCTCAAACTCGCGGCCCGCGGTATTAAAGTTTAATGTTAGTGCGGCCCGCAAGTCACTTAGCTCAGTTAGCATGATTAATGCTTTTAATATAACAGCGTTTCCCAAACTGTGTTCCGAGTGTTGTGTGGAAAAAGAATCAAAAATACATCTAAATCGGTCGGCATGGCGATCTGAGAATCCTGAGGTTGTTGCCCAAATGACTGTTTAAAATTGCGTCACCGTCGGCCTAAAGTGGACTAACTAAGTTAGGGTGGTGGCATTTTCGTTAACCGTCGGTTCAGCTTTTTGACTGTTAATTTCATTATCAAATTTACAGTACTTTTTTGGTTTTGTTAGAGACAAACAAGTAAGTCTAAAGAATAAAGGCAAAATGTCAACTGTTCTTCCACCATCTCTACCTGGTTTTACTTTGAAATGCTGAAAGTTTGTCGCGCATTTGAAACTCACCACGGCAAAACCCTTGGGAACCGCTACATTGCACCGTTTTTCTTTATCAATTTAACCCTTTCATTTTTTGGTGTTCCGCGAGGAGATATAAAAAGTGTAAGTGTTTCGTGGCCGGAAAAGGGAAACTCTCACGTAGGGCAAAACAAAATATTTTATCATCTATCCCCTGAAAGGAATATGCGGTGCGGTAACCTACCAGTACCATACATGTATGCCTGATATTCGATCGCGGAACTGTCTGAATTTAAAAACAGTGTTCCATGATTTTTGACGTCACAATAACTAACGCTTAGATTTATCTTGGTACATTGTAAATATCTTTCCCGTGTGGCGAAACATTACTGTCCATCGACTAAATGCTTGATTGAAACATCAGCGCAACAGTTATTACAAGATGAAATTTAAAATTTGGCACATCCCTAAACGTGTCGTTGGAAGTGAAGTTTCAGTGAACAGAAAGGTTGGTAATGAGCACAGACAATTTCAAAAATCTGGGAAATGCAATATTTCTTTGTTGAGCATAGGAGTATCCCGACATTTTTTATCTGCACAGTTAAAGTTGCAGAGCACAAGGAATATAATTTAAACGAGTTGCTTAGCTTTTATTTTGGAAAACCTGATGCGGCCCGGACTCATCCAGACTCTGCCCCAGCAGCCCCCAAGTATATTGAGTTTGAGACCCCTGACCTAAAGATTTAAATAATATATCTGTAAATAGTCTAACCATTTATACATTTCAGTTACCTATCTCAGTATTTGATCAATATATAGCCCAGTTGAAAGTTCAGCAGTTGGGTCAGACAAATTCTTAAAAATACAATAAAGCAAAATTTGATACTCTGACCTGACATACTGCATTAAAAATTGGAATTATTCAATTTGACAGTTCATAGTAGGCTGACACAACTGAGCTAAAAAGTGGCACAAGTGGTGTTTGGCCTAGTTTCAGAATTCAGGAAATTAGAAAAAATATGGCACACATAAATCTACCAACTAAATCTGGCTCGGCCAATGCCTAAAATACACCCTTTTTGCTCTGAAAAACGCCAGATAAAAGTAGCCACTGATATCTAACAATATCTTAAATAATCGCTCTATTGACGCACTTCGCTGTCAAAGTTATCCATGGCATATATTTTCAACTATCTTGTTTGGTTTATTTGGTGAAAGGATTATTGATAGCAGGCCAGGGACGTCCAGTTTTCAGTAAATCATTCAGAAATAGAGCAAAATGGTGTTGGAAAAGGCAGAAAGGTGTATGAATTTATGTCTTACTACCAATGCCGCAAGATGGCATTGAAAAAAATGTTGAAAATTTTGGGAGGGGGGCATGGCCGCTCATGCCCCCCTGGCTTTGCCTATGGGTAACAGTACCATAATTTGTTTCTAATTATGAATGGCTCACCCAATTAACTTAAAGTAAGTTGGTGTGACTGTACTGATGAATGAATGTTACACTACAATACTTTCCTGGGCATTTTTACAGAATGCTGATATTAAGATGACAAAAAAGAATTTGCGAATTCCCAAACGAATAATCAACCATTATCGTACAGTATTGAATAAACAACAACAAAGATCCTGAAGATCAGAGTAGTACCGGAGGAAAACTACAAGTATACCATATTCAAAATGCAACAAATACTTTTTCTTGCAACTTTTCATAGCATGTTATCTATTTGGTACAAGTGACATACAACTTATATGTCGTGGCTTTTGAATTGGCCATTGGGTACACAAGACAGTAAGATGCGAGCACATCCAGACATCATAGAATTTTTTAATGCATAATGTTTCCACAATGCAGCAATGTCTCGTGAAGCAAACGCCGTAACTGCTTAAATACTCCTAAACACAAATGTGGTGTGAAAATGAATGCTGTAAGTGCCTAAATAACGCCAAACAAAAATGTGATGTGAAAATACAACCCAAATTTTTTTTTTCTAAAAATAAAAGTCCACCTTGCGCGAACACAATACGCTAAACCAGACACCAAGATATGGACAGAGTACCACACGCGGACCAAATCCGGCCTGTTGGTTAATTCAATCTGGCCCCCCTGATGCTGCCACAACCAAACCGAATTCTGGTGCTTTAGGCTTTAGCTAAAAATAGCCCAAGGAATTTGTTGAGATTTAATTTTGGCACGGGGCTTATTGATTTCCACCTTTGCTTTGTACCACTGTGAATAATGTTCATAAAATGTTGTTTTTTACGTCACACTCACCTTGCGCTAAACGTATGGGACAAACGGGAGGCGGACAACTAGACTGAAAAGAGGACAGATGAGTCGTCCACCTATTCGCATTTTTGACGGCGATGTTTTAGGACAATACGGGTGTAATTTCAATCTGTTTACATTAAAATTTCACTTCACATTTTTGTTAGGCGTTATTTAAGCAGTTACGGCGTTTACTTCACTAGACCTCAGATATATACCATAGATCGCTCTCTCTTTTTTTTTTTTTTTTTTTTTTTTTTTTTTTTTTACCAAATAAATTCTAATGCCAAACGGAATTTTCGTATATTAATTTTATTGTCGAATTAGTATAATTTGCACCCAATTAAAACAATTTCATAATTTCAAAACACAGATTGCTATTTGCTGCGTTTGTGACAGGCGGCGGTCACGTAAATTCTTCTACTCCCTACTGCCACCAATCTACCAAAAAAAACATTATACACCTCAGTGATTATACTTTATAAAGCTCTTTATTTAGCAGCCATGATCCGTACCCTATGTTTCGCTGATGCATATGAGAACCGAAATACCTATAGTTAACTGAATATAGATCGCTCACGTCTTTTTCGTCTTTGTTCATTTATGTTACATTGCTCTCTTGCTACGCTTGAGTGCGGCGCTACGGTATTCTCTTAATGCGATATTGTGCTGCGTGCAGTTTTCAGATACAGCCAGTGGTGGGATTCAGCCGGTTCGCATCGGTT